TAACCTAAAAAAATGTACACAATGGACAGCCCCTTTCTGGTATATGTACGATTCTTGGAGTGAATAAAAACCATTGAGGATTAATAATCGCAGAGGTCAATTTTAGACGCCGAAAAATTTGAAAAAATACAAAAATATTGCCCCCTCCGGAAGGCCTGTAAAAAAATTATTATTGGCATGGACACTACTAAATTGTTAGCCAACTCAATTATTCGTCAAAAATCAGTAAATAAAAAGAATGTTGTAGGAAGCTTAGCTCCAGGGGAGGCAAGGGAGGCTTAGCCTCCTCAAAAATTGTAACCAGTTCACTTATTTTGATTATTTTATTTAAATATGTATTATATTTCAACTAAATAGCTATTTAGTGATTAATTGGTGAAATTTTAATTGAATTTCCAATCATGATTATAATATTATTAGAGTATGAGTATAAGAGACGTCTAACCGGCCCCATTGCCTCATCGCTCCCGGGCCCCGCATAAGCCTCTGTTTCCTTGCGCCGATTTTCTTTCGCCACCAGCAACGGCGCGGCTTCACCCGTGTTTGTTGGTTGCGAAATGCCAATAGTTTTAGTAGCCATTCCCGGGTTCGCCGAGCCGTTGCTTTACGCCCAGTAGGGTCATAAAGGAGGTAGGACGGGAGGGATACACAGTTTGGTGTTTGGGGGACAATTACGCCGACTTAAATCTAAGTACGACGCGGTACCCCCCTAGACCAGGCGGTTAGTATTACTCCAAACATTTGGGATTACTGTATGGAGTGGGAGTTGTTATTTTGCTGCAGGAGCCTACGTCTTGGTCTACGTTTTTGTCGTTATTGTTCGTGTCCAAGTAGAATTGTTCCTGCACATGTGTCTTCAGTCTTGAGGCCGAAAACCATCAATAGATAGTTCAGTAGTTGGATATGTAACTTGTAGCTTTTGATGTTTTTTTTAATTGTTTATTGGCGCAGTAGTGCGAAATTTCTAACAATTTTTTAGTTATTGGGTTGCCCAAGCACGTTTTGTGGTAGAATTGTTTTGTCTTTTTTTTCTTAATTTCCAAAATTAAGTATTGAATTTATTTATTGGTTAAACAAATGAAAATCGTAATTATTCTGTTATAATCTAATGTGTTTACAAATCCAATAGAGTTTGATTATTTTGCTGTTTTTACTTTGTTTGGGTTTTCTTAATTTATTAAGTGTCTAATGCTTATTTGGTCTCGTTTTTGTTAATCTTGGACTGTTTTGTTGACAGATTTATTGTCCCACTAAGCTTTGGTGTATGGCCGCCATAGATTCGGTTGGGAAGTTTTGTTTTTGGTTAGTGGGTATTATCTTTCTAATGTTTTTATTGTTACCGATGTTTATTGTTTTTTTGTAGAGATTAGGCAGTGTGCCTTGTCTTGTTTAATTTTGCAAATAATGTGTTAGTTTATGCAGATGAGTTGAGGATACTTATCAAATTTTTGCAGATGACCTATTCCTCCCTTGTTTGACCTCTTTTGTTGGCCAGTGAAAATCGTCCGGTTGACGGGTGGTGCGACCACTCAGAAGCTTAACTCTTTCTTGTCACTTAACACTTAACTCTTTATTGACCGTTTCACTATATTAGTTTGCACTTGTCGCTTAACTCTTCCTTATCACTTAGCACGTAACTAATTCTTGACCGTAGAGTAGTCTTTACTCACTGTAGTTGTTTCACTATAATTTGTTTGCACTTTATGAGAAGTTATTTGTTGGATATGGTTTTTACGTTTTAAGAGCTCGCGCTGCTATGATGGGTCTTGCTCTGTCAAGTACTGGGACGTGACTGTCATGATTATAATATTATTAGAATAATATTTTTTCATAATAAATAAAAATACTACAGCTCAAATCAGTCTTATAAGTGTGTTCTGTGAGTGTGTCGTTATACTAATTTACATTTTGTATTGGTTAACATAAAAAAATTGGAAGAAATTAAAATGTGGGGAGATTGTAGAATGGCTTGTTTTCTTTGTTAATTTATATTAACTGTATTTTCTAGCCACAAACATTTCAGACTAGTTTTTTTTATGGCGAACGTGTCTTGGAAAAATGTAGAAAACTTGCACTTTAATAGCCTCTTTAATTTGACTGACCATAAGCCGCCACTGCTTAGCTCTGGTTTTTTACGATTACTTGTTTTCTTGAGATCCAAGGGTGATGCTTTTTAAGTTCGGACTCTTTTGCCCCCCTGCTAAAAATTCTGGTTACGCCCATGGTAAAACGTTAATTAAAAAAAACAGTTGGTCTATGTACTATGTACTACGATTTTATAAACAAATCCTGCATTTTTTTTCTATTTAGCCTCCTGTTTTAATATACAAATTAGGAATTAGGCTGTTTACTTTTCACTTTTGATTAAGCTTTAGAATTAGTATAAAAATGCTATTTTTGGTCCAAATTAAGTATTTTTCAACATTATCTTCTTTATTTAGGTATTTATTTCAAAGATACTAAAGCTTCTTCATCCCTCCAGGATAGACCTATAACTACTTTTCATAAAAAATCAGCGTCGATTACTTCAGCATTTGAGGCATCTCTTTTAAGCCAACGATTTTTTCAGTTCTGGAAAAAGGAAAAATTGGTGCCCCCGCAAATCTGGAGAATACGGAGGATGCGGTGACACTTTTCATATTTGATAATAAAAAATGTTGAACGAGTGTGTCTCGTTATGTAATGTGGTAATAAATTCAAGATCGAATATAACGGCCATGAATGAAATCACGGCAATGAAAAAGGCACGAAAAGGATATAGACTGTTTGTACTTAAAGTGATTCACTTAATTCTTAATCCTATTTTGTTTAACTAGCGTCAGAGAAATTGTTGCAAATGCATGTTTCAAACTTTCATCCGATCAGTTTGAAAATGGACAGTGCTGCATAAAGTGTTCAGTAAGTTTTTTCATAAGTTTTCAGTTTTTTTAAATTATTAAATATTTTTTATGTATAAATTATATGTAAAGATCATGTCTTTTAACAAATTTTATTACCTAATATAACTTTTTAATATAAGAAAGTCGGACAACATCCATTTTCGTTTTAAATATAGAAAACACCTTCCCATTTAACTATTTTTCTTCGTAAACCTTTTAAAATTTCAGAACCAAAAATAAATTCTGCAATATTTCAAAATCATTTACCTGCTAAGCAGTACCTATAACTTAAATATTAATATGACTAATCTTAGTTTGCCCCTTTAAAAAAAGGCAATTTTGCATTATCTGGTCCCCAGCGACTAAAACCTGTTTTCAAATTAAAAAAAAAAATTCCAGCTATTAAAAAAAGACAATTGTTAAAAACTCCATACAGTTTCTTTAGTATTTAAAATAGCTTAAAAAAATATTGATTGAATATAATGAAAATCACCTTAGTATTGTTTTTTACCTTCAAAAATCATTTATTGATTGCTTAGCGTCCTTAAGTTTAATAAATTACTCAAATAAGTAACAAAAAACCAATAAATAATAACCATACACGCATTGATCACTTAACGCGATACACGTGTCTTATGAAGCGTTCTTATAAGATGAACTTATAACTAACTAATACCTGATAAAATACGCGAAATTACTCGCTGTAGTAAAAAATAAACCAAAAATATAACAATTTTACAACCAAAACATACCGGGGTCGTCCTTTTTTTCATCGACAAGTACATGTCTCCTCGAAAAAATAAATTAATATTCATCCGTTCTATGCTTTTTCTGATTTTTTTAAAACAATATAATCACTATAATATAATATATCCAATATATATTGTGACACAGACTGTGTCACACAGTATTAAAAAAAACGTGACGGAGTTGTATAACATACGAATAAGTCATGTTCCTTTGCGCCGGCTTGTTACGAAGAATTCCGCCTTATTAAGCTAAATAAAAACCAGTGTGTGTATTATAATTAGGCATAGAAATAAATATAAAATTTTATTTTGCATGAAAAATAAAAAGTAAGTAAAACGTTTTTGTGACAAAGGTCCGTTGCGGACAAAACTTCAAATTTCGAAAAAATTACTTACCAACCTGATATGAATAAAAAAATAGCTCTTTATTTTTACAGAAAAAATGCATCTGTACTGTTGAATTGACATCAGGGCCATGCGCAATAATTAAATCGCGACCATAAGTTTGTACTGCGCATGTCCCCAACGTCGACAGTCATAATGTTCTGTATAAACAAACCAATATATCGTAATTGTCATCTAAAAAATTTAATACGAAAATAGTTTTTGTAAAACACAGTCAATTTTAGGCGAACTTTTTAAGTAACTGCATCATCTTTAAAAGTAATTTAACTTAATAATTAAGCAATGCGTTTAGCGGACTTCGGCGAAACCGAATGCTGTCAGCTGTTCCTATACACCAAAAATGAAAATACTTTAACTGTAGAATTTTAACTTAAAATATATAGGTATAACTCTTAAGAATGTTAACTGTTAAATATAACTGTATAAAAATGTAAATTTAAGCTAGGTACCACTGTCTTAAGAATGTCAACTTAAGCTAAATTTATCTATATACACCAAAAATGAAAATACGGTATATATATTTTAACTGTAGAATTTTAACTTAAAATATATACATGTAGGTATAACTCTTAAGAATGTTAACTGTTAAATATAACTTTATAAAAATGTAAATTTAAGCTAGGTACCACTGTCTTAAGAATGTCAACTTAAGCTAAATTTATCTGTATTAAGAATCTAAACAGCTTAAGCTATAATTACTATAGCATTATAGTAAGCTGTGCTTATGCTATGTGAGTATAAGAATTTTTTTCTACTCCCACCTTTAAAACGCCCATTATCGTATCGCAACAGGTTATTAGTCACGGTCTGAAGTTAGTTTTAAGTTAGTTGACAGTTGTCAAATGTCATAAAATCATTTTAAGATAATAATAAGTATTTGTCTTAGAAAAAGTATAGTATGCATCTCGTTTATAAACTTTTCTATACACTCATTAATTTAATTTGATTGAAATATTTTTTCTTTCAGTACACTTTGCAAACGGTTTCCACCAGAACGGCGATTCGTCGTCGGAGGTGAGCCCCACGCAAGAGGAGATGCACGACCTGGAGGAGACCGACGAGCCGGAGCTCTACCTGGAGTACGCGGACGAGACGCACCAAGCCAGCACTCTCTCTTCGCTGAACAAGATGCGAAAAAACCGTCATTTCTGTGACGTCATTCTTCACGTATGTGCCTGACGTGTACACAACCGACATGTTTTACTGCGCAGTCAGTCGATCCAGCGCCATCTACACACACATATTTTGACTAAATTACATTATTTAAACATTTTTGTACGTTTTTTAGTGCGATAGATCTACTGACTAGCTGTGTAAAAATGTTAAATTGTTCACGGTCAGTTACACTACTGGGCAGCTATCAAAATCGTCATAAATTGAATTTAAATGACCAGTAGTGAGTAGATTTTAAGTCATTTTTATTACAATGTAGACTGTAGACTGATAGGGAAGCGACACGTTAAGTGCCATTGAATATTTTTAAGTGTTATTTGTTTTTTAGAATAACATGATAAAATGCATACCTTCGACAAAATTCATTGTTTCAAGTAGGTTTAATTTAGGTAATGATTTTATCATGTATTTATTATTCATTTGGCATGGTTATTAATATTTTCTTACAGAATCAATGATTTTGAGTCCAAAATTAGGTAAAACCTTCTAAATCGATCTTTTTAAAAATTTATTATCGTTCCCTTCAGGAGAACGTTTTAATTTTCTCTGTTTTACAGAAACAGTACTCGAAGCTCGGTGATGGTAATCGCATTTTTTTATTATTTTTTATTTTTTTGTAAGAAATCATGTCTTCACTAATCATATTTTATGTCTTCAAACAAGTCGATGCCGATTGTTACATTGTTGGTTTTGTTTGTGAATATAGGTTGGGAACATTGAGGTCCACGCCCATAGAGCAGTTCTAGCCAGCGCATCTCCATACCTATTTGAGTTGTTTTCCAATGACCAAGACAACAAAAGACTCGAAAATGTTATCACCTACACGCTTAATGGCGGGTTCGACCAAATTGCCTTTTCCATTTTGGTGGACTATGCCTACACAGCAAAACTTGTTTGCAAATATAGTCAGGTAAGTTCTAGTAGTTTACTGTAAAGTTTACAGTGTAACTAAAGAAGTCAAATTACCATTCAGGTAGAAAATAACAAAGCTCTATTGATAATGTTAAAATGTTCTATAAAGGTCAAACTTTTGTAAAAAAATGTACTTTTTCCTTTAAAATGGCAACCACTTGTCCTAGAATCCTGATTCTGGTCACTTTTGATAAGTTCTACTTTTTTGATAAATTTTACTATGCTTCCCAGATTTTGCTTTTGGTAAACTTACGTCATAAAAAAGTAAAATTCAAATTTAAAATGAAGAATTTGGTAGAAAACAGTATTAAAGGTATAAACTTGAGAATAAGTCATTAAGTCAAATTACCATTATTTACAATTAAGAACTTTGGGGCAAAAACAAATAAGTCCACTATAAACGATTTTGTATTAAATTAAAAACCGATTTATACTAGTTTGAGAATGAAAGTTGTCTATTACGTCCCTATCATCATCTGAGGAAGTTGATTCTGCTCAAAGCAAATAAGATTTACATTTTTAACGACACTTTGGCAGCAAAATTAACGTCCATAGATAAATTAATAACACTTTTTGTTTGCTTCATATTAAATTCAGATGCTGCTACATTGACCCTTAAAAACACCTTGAACTAATCCCTTTTAAATTTACGGAATGAAAATTAAAAAAAAAATCTGGAAAGCAGATTTTAAATGTTGTAATATATAAACTTTATATTCTAAAGTAATGTTGCTGGTATGGTGTTCTTAACCCAAAAAATTGTAAATGGGCCAGAGTTCGTAAAATCAGCACAATTCATAATTTAAAATACTGTTCTATTTGATCATAAACATTATTCGACCAAACTTTTTTTTGTTTGTTTTATTTTTTAGAAAAACTAAAAATAAAATTTTTGGTAACTTTTAAAACTAAATCTAGTTGAGTATATTTGAAAAAAATTGTTCTAAAACTTACAATAAATTAATTTTTTATAACAATTTATTAAATTTTTTTCATGTTTTGGAGATTTAATTTTATTTAATACAATATGTATGGTCGGCGCTTGTTGAATAATAAAAAAATAAATCATTTGGAAGTTGGGAAGCAAAAATGTTGAGAAGATATTTTTTTCAGTAAAAAATATTTTTTTATTAAATTATAATGAATTAAGTAAAAAACGTGCGCATAACACACTGCGCAGCATTATTTTAATCATAAAAACCAATGTAATTATTTTTAGATTCCTTGGAGTTAGACGAAAAAAATTAATTGTTTATAAAAAGTTTAATAGATTATTATGAAAAAATAAATTTTTATAAATTTCAAAACAATTTTATTACTTTTGATACCTATGCTAAAGTTTTATCAAATTTTTATTGGTTTAAGAATCGATTTTGTTTACCAAAAATTTCATTTGACAATGACTAATTAACAATAATTAATTTTTATGGTAAAATAAAAGATTTTTTCAACATTTCGATAAAAAACATTGATAGCCATTTTTATCGTGCCGGTTTCACAAATTCTGACGCAAATAAATCATCTATTAAAATTAGTAGGAATAATAATAACTTGACCCAGCAATGTTTTCTCTTGTATGAGACTAGAATCAGATTTCTAGGGCAAATTATCCAAAACTTAACAATATAAAATTGAAATAAAACTTTTAAATCTCATTTTCTAGTCATTTTAATATACTTTTTGTTAGGTTAAAGCTGTATTTTTGGCTGCAAATCATTTAAAAATTGAACGAGTCACAAGAATATGCGCCCAACATCTCATGAAACATTTATCAGCTGAAAACTGCATTGAGATAAGATCGCTTCCTGGCATAGCGAGAAATAAAGAGTTCATTCAACAGGTTGACTCTTACATCGACAAAGAAGTAGGTCAAAAAATTTATATCTAGAGAAAACCCCCTACAAAAGCTTATTGTTATATTTTTAGTTTGCAAACGTTAGTAAAATCAACACGTTGTTGAATTTGTTCTGCGCCAGGATTGAAGTTTTGAATCAGTCCAAGGAGGAAATGTCCTTTGTGAACAGAAACTCTCTATGCAGACTCGTTTTGGAGTGGATTAAAAGACAGAAAACCGATGAGAACATCAACATGGATGTGCTCTTTGAAAAAACTTTTATGCTGTATCTTGCTATCGATAACTCCTTACAAGATTGCCTTATTTTGCCAGCCGGAGATATCAGTGATACTGAAATAGTACAAGATTATAAAAAAATGTCGTTGAAAAATACTCAGAGTAACGGCAAACTCAAACGTAAACCATTGCAGCAACCTTCAAAGCCAAGAGTACTGATTTATAACCGCGAAATCGGTGAAGAGCTCGAATATGAAGTCGAGCCAGACTGGAAACTCATATCATCTGTAAACGTTGACGAGAACTGTTTTCTTGCTCTGGTTACTCTTGGTGGAAAATTATGCACCCTTTCCATTCAACTAAGGTAAAGAAATACTTATTATTATTTTATTTTTTTTATTTAATGCTATTGTTTTTAGACTGAATACCCCTTCGACTCCATCCCCAGTTCAAACTCCAGACGCAAGCAGATCTGTGAGCGAAGAAAAACCCGACTTGTACTGCGCAGTAGCAAATATGTCTTGCCAGAGATGCGCAGTAGGTTGTGGAAACTATTTTAACACCCTATTAGTGTGCGGTAAGGTTATATGTGACTTATAATTGGTTCAATAATATGTATTTATTTTTCAAGGTGGTTATGACAGAACAGAATGCCTACGTTCCGTAGAACAATACAACCCCGATACAAACACATGGAAAAACTTACCGCAAATGCGCGAAAGCCGCGGACGATTCAAAATCGCCGTCGTTTCGGACAAAGTCTATGCGATCGGTGGCAGCAACGGAACTACAGAGCTGGACTCGGTCGAGGTTCTTGACATGGCCGTCGGTAAATGGACGAAAGCCCCGAAATTACCCCTCGCCAGGAGTAACATGGGCGTTTGCACTCTGAACGACTTGATTTATTGCATTGGAGGTTGGAACGGCCAAGTCGGAATCAAGCAGTGCGATGTTTATGACCCAGCGACGTCCACTTGGGGTTCTATGGCACCATTAAATACAGGTGAGTTTAAAAATGCTAGGAGTCGAATATAAATTTATTAAATTAGCACAAAAAATAGATAATTATGTCATTAGGCTGATAAGTAACTATTTTTATGCTGAAATCCAAAGTTTGAAGGCCAATGCATAGTGGCGGATCTGATCGAGAATTTCGAAACCTGATCGGATCTGATTAAAAATTTCCAAACCTAATCGGAGTATAATTGGATATGTACAGGAATTTTAAACCTGATCGAGAATTTTGAAACCTAAACAAAGCATGATCGGATCTTAATCGAGAATTTCGAAACCTGATCCAATCTGATCGGGTTTTTTTATACAGTTCAAAAGTTAATAAATATAAAAACACTTTCTTGGGTTGAAGTAGGTAGGTATAAGAGACGTATGACCGGCCTCATTGCCTCATCGCTCCCGGGCCCCGTACAGGGTCATGTTTCCTTACGCAGGGTTCGTAGCGACCGGGAAAACCGGGAAAAGTCAGGGAATATAAAATGAGTCTAAAAAGTCATGGAAAAGTCAGGGAATTTAAAGAAAAAACGAAAAGTCAGGGAATTATCTGTAAATAATACTAATACTTAAAATAATAATATAAAAGAAAATAATATTTACTTAATACCTACACAATCTACATTATGATTTAATATAAATGAAATGCTTGAGCAATTTTAATGTAACTACCTTATCGTGTAACTGTCAGTTTGTCTTTGACAAAAGTCAAAGTAACATTACAAGTCTTTCTCGTAATTGTGAAAAATTGTTTAATAACGAAAATTAAGGTTCTGGAAAACCAAAAACAAAAATTAACTGAAGGAACCAACCATGAAGTGGACAGTATCAATAGACGTCTACAAATATTGAGATAAAAAGTTTAAAATAGTTATTTGACTTATTTTTGTATTTTGTTTTGTTTTTATGTACGAGAAATATGCTCTATGTTTTGTTATAACTATTAAGTTAAATTTTAAAAGATCTAAAAAAGTTTTGTTTTTGAATTACATATGTGTGCAATTCTTGATCTATTTATAACTTTTTTCGCGATTTTTATAATTCATGTTGAACTTTAAGGATGATTTCCAGCAAAGGTTTCAAACTTAGGAGTCTGCAGACTCCTAAGTTTGAAACTTTTGCGTTTGTTTGAAACGCATCCGGTATGTTTTATAAATTTCGTTCAAAAAACAAAAATTGATTCTTCCGACCATAGGTACCTTTCTATAGTCCAGGTCACATATAATAATATATATATATATATATATATATATATATATATATATATATATATAATATTTATTTTTGTTTTTATGGTCTGTTATTAAAGCTGCAAAGTATAAATTCTATTTTTTATTTTTTTCTCATTTGCCTCAATATCAATATCAATTTTTGACACCTTCCATAGTCTATGGAAAAAGCTTGAGAAAGTTCTGGAAAACCTGGAATTTTATACGAATTCAATAGTATGAACCCTGTTACGCCGATTTTTGTTCGCCACCAGCAACTGCCTTCACCCGTGTTTGCTGGGTGCGAATGTCCATTGCGTTCCGTACTGTCCCCTATTTAGGGCTCGAGAGCGAAATGCCAATAGTTTAAATAGCCATTCCCGGGTTCGCCGGGCCGATGCTATACCGCCAGTAAGGTCATAAAGGAATTAGGACGGGAGGGATAGACATTTTTGGTGTTTGGTGGGCAATTATGCCGACTCAAATCTAAGTACGACGCGGAATCTCCCTAGACCAGGCAATTAGTATTACTCCAAACATTTGGGATTACTAATTGGAATTGGGGAGTTGTTATTTCGCTGCCGGGGTCTAGTTTTTTAGTCGTGGTCTACGTTTTGGTCGTTATTGTCTATGTCCGTGTCAAAGTCGGATTGTTCCTGCACTTGGTATAGTGATTCAGTTGTTTTCTTTATCATTTTTATTGTTGCTTTGTTGCTATTTTTTGTACTTTTAGTGTTAATGTGTTTACAAAATCTATTAGTTTGCTATTTTTACTATGTTTGGATTTTCTTAATTTATTGAGTGTTAGTTATGTTCTAAGTGTCAAATGTTTATTATTGGTCTCGTTTGGATTAAACTTAAACTTTGTTTTGTTGGGGACTGGGTTTGGTTTCGTACGCGTTTGTTGTTGACAGATTTTAAATCTGAGATTTATTGTCCTACTCAGCTTTGATGTGTATGACCGCGATAGGTTCGGATGGGAAGTTTTTTTTTGTTGTATGTCTTTTTTCTTTGTCGTTTTATAGTGTTTGATTAGTATGGTCTTTCTAATGTTTCTATTGTTACTGATGTTTATTGTTTATTTTCTAGAGTTTAAGTAATGTGCCTCTCTTAGAGTTTTAAAGGTATCTGTCGTGTTTAATTTTGCAAATTATGTGTTAGGTCATGCAGATGGTTAAGGATACTTATCAATTTTTGCATATGGCCTATTCCTTTTTTGTTTGTCTAGTGAAAAGCGTTCGATTGACAGGTGGTAGGCCCACCCAGAAGCTGACACTTGTCACTTAACTCTTTCTTATCACTTAACTCTTTATTCACCGTTACACTATATTAGTTTGCACTTTATTAAAAATTGTTTGTTGGGTTTGTCCCCTTTTGTTTGTCTAGTAAAAAGCGTCCAGTTGAGGGGTGGTAGGACCGCCCAGAAGCTCACTTGTCACTTAACTTTTTCTTATCACTTAACACTTAACGCATTCTTGACCGTAGGGTAGTCTGTCAAGTGTTGGAACGTGACTGATGTTTTTATTAAATTTATATTATAATTTTATAATAATAAAACAATGTAAATGATTAGTTTTAGTCTCTTAAAATGTATACTGCAATTTATATTTTAAAATGACGTTTTATAATATAAATAATAAAGTTCTTAACAAATCATAATTTTCTTAGGGCGCTACCAAGCCGGCGTGGCGGCCTACAAGAACTTCGTCTACGCCTTAGGCGGCTGCGACGCGTGGAACTGTCTAAATTCAGTGGAAGTCTACGATCCGGAGAAGGAATCTTGGTCGTTGTCGAAACCCTTCAACACCGCACGTCGTGGTTGCGGCGCTGCCGTTTTCAACAACAAATTGTACGTTATCGGCGGATCGGACGGTTCGCATTCCCTCAACACTACCGAGATTTTCGATGAAGAGACTCAGAACTGGACTGTAGGACCTACCATGACCACGCCTAGGGCTAATGTCGAAGTTGCCGTGGTTGGGGATAGATTGTATGCAGTAGGAGGATTCTCAGGTAAAATTATTTAAAAAAAAATCGATTTTATTAAAAACACAAGGTTTCTTTAAATTCTCAGGAAAAAAATTAAATATTACACGAACTATGTTTTAGTAAGATTGGAGGAGTCCCTAAACTTATTGGCATAAATTTAGGAAAAGATTGAGCAAGTAAAAATAAGACGAAAACCCAAATACCTAAATATTTTTCCTAATTACTTATGTTTCCAAGATACTGGGTGATAAAGTGTTACTTATCATATCAGTTTTGTTAATATAACTTCTTCTATGGTAGTCTTGGAAAGGTGATATTTTGCGAACAGTCACTTACTACCAAAACACATATTCACACATAATTACAATTGTTTGAGTGAGCACAGTGAGAAACGGGGGTTGATTTAAGCTTATTGTCCCATACAAACTTTTGAGGTTAGGTTTTTGTAACATTTGATGCAATTTTTCGAATACACAGTTCGGCTACCATTAAAATGATATTAAAACGATAAACTAAACCGTTTCCGAGATTACAATAATTGTTATATCGCATTATTTAAAAGGATTAAAAGGTTTATGATGGCAGATTTTATTTTTTAATTGAAAAAACGAAAAAGGGCATTCCATGAGCCTCGGGACTTTTTGCCCTGACAGTCACATTAAAAAATAATAAATAATTTACATATATATTTTAATCTCGAATATCTCGGAAACGGTTTATTTTATCGAAGTTTGAGAGGTACATCTTTTAATGGTAGCCGAACTGAGTAATCGAAAAATTGCATCAAAAGGTATAAAAACCTAACCTCAAAGTTTGTATGGGACAATAAGCTTAAGCAACCCCTGTTTCTACGACACTGTGTTCACTCGAACAATTGTAATTATGTGTGAATATGTGTTTTGGTAGTAAGTGACTGTTCGCAAAATTGGCAGTGACTTTCTCGAAAATTAAATATGTCAGTAACATTTTTCAGTCGGAAAGTAAATAAGAAAAACTTGAAAAAAATTCGAATTGTTATTGCCATATTTGATTATTTTGTATTTTTGTTCACAACGCCCCCTAAATTTTTAGTTTATGACCTAAAAAAAATTATAAAAAAAATATTCATATGTAAACCGTGCCACAAAGACGATACATTTTCCATTTAAATAACATGGGGTTTCGGCAAGTTTTACATTTAATTCTTTTTCTACAAAGCAAGTTAATATACACCAATAAGAGACACATATTTTTATAGGAAATTGAACGCTGTACAAAAAACTTTCCTATGATTTTTTAATAAATTCACTGATTTAAAAGTTATTTAAGGTTAAATTTAAACTTTTTTCGATTTTTTTACTTTGACTGCAAAATTATAATTATTTTTACGAAAATGAATTGTTTATTTTTGAAAATATGTGATTTTATTGAATTATTAAAAAAAAATATTGAAAAGAGATAAGTGAAAATTATTGACATGAGATTCCGATAAATTCAATTTTTTTATTACATTAAACGAATCTGGTACTAGTTTACTCAATTTTAGTACAATTACTTTTTACATAATCTGTTTAATTTCTGTGAAATTCTACAAAATTTTATACGATTGAGTATGAGTATGGGACCCAAGCAGCAATTTGTGCCCGAACTTGGGCACAACACTTTTTGTTTCCAAATTGTTTCGACACAAATCGGAAAACTTATGTCTAAATGGAAACTGTGTCCTTTCTTCAAATTTGTGGTTGCTTTGGGTCGACACCTTTTAAACCAATTGTGTCCAAAAAAGTATGGGTCTAAGTAGCATTATTTCAGAAATATGTGCCCAAGTTGCGTCGCTTTTGTGCCCTCTTGGAAATAGTAACACAATTTAGACTCATTAGGGTCGACACTTAGTCGACTCAATGTTTCCATATTGTACCTTATCAATCTGTTTCCATTTTATTACCAAATTGAGTCAAGTGGACGCAAAAGTTTTCATTTAGCTGCATTTTAGATTCATGGTGTCTGATTTGTTTCAAAAATGTGTGGGGCGGGCGCATTAGGTTCCAAAGGGACACATTGTGTAATTCGCCATATTTTTTTGTTGAAACAGATACGACGCTTTAATTTTTTTTACATAATTTAACTTTCTGGTGAAATTTAAACTTAAAATTTAAAAAATGCAAAGTTTAAGTTACATAGAAGGCACATACGTCTAGTTTTGATAAAAATATAGAAAACAATTTTTTTTTTTAATAAAAAAAAATTATAAATACTTATTATTTGTGAGGCCCTATCAATTTTTAAAAGTATTTTGCTTATAATCACCAATAAAATTTTGTTCGCAATAAAAATGAAGGTAACATATACCAAAAATGTTAGATTTAAGTTATAATGTATTTCATAATATTATATTGTATACATAATTATTAATAAGACATCACGCCTTACTTTGCCTCTTTGTATCTAGTTCGTTTCCAATTCGTTTCCAATTAAAAATAGTTAGTGTCCATTTGGGTTTATTTTAGGACACAATACAGTACTTGGCAACAATTCGGAACAAATGGTGACCATTTGGTAACATACAAATTAGAAACTCTTTGGGCACAAATTGGTCACACTACCGGGCACATTGTGGGCAAATTTTAAGAAAAAATCGGGCACATTTTGTGGGCAAACTATGGACACTTTTTGGTACAACTTTCATCACCACTTTGGTCTCATTTTCCACACTTAGTGGTCTTAAAGTGGACTATGTGTCTTTAAAATGTGTCGTGTCCAAAATCATGTTTCGACGCTGTGTCGACACATTGCCCAAAATGTGTCATTCTTTGCTGCTTATTACATTAAACGAATCTGGTACTAGTTTACTCAATTTTAGTACAATTACTTTTTACATAATCTGTTTAATTTCTGTGAAATTCTACAAAATTTTATACGATTGAGTATGAGTATGGGAACGTATGGCAGGCCCCAAAGGCATTATCCTCCACTAATCTCCCAGGGTTATTTTACCCCCTTTTCGTTCTCCTGCGTATCCCGCCAAATCACAGCATTACCTGTGTTTGTTGGATCCGAAGTTTTTACGCCGGCTGGTAGATCCACCCTAGGAGGTCGTGGATGACAGTGTCTATGGTTAAGACCGCTCCACGGATTTTTGTCAGCCGGGTCGGGCCATACGTCCAATTTAAAAAGGGTTTTTTGGAGGAAATTGAACTGACCCAAAAGTACAATCCGGAATCCTCCTCAACCTGGGTCTTAGTAATAACCCCATTCAATTGGGATTCATGAATGGGGGTAGAAGTGTTAGTACGCTGCTAGAACCTGTCCTTGTTGGTGTATTTCTGAACATCTCTGTCCGAGTCAGTATCAGGTTCCTGGTAACCTCTTTAGAATTGTTTGCCCCCCTGTGTGATACTGAGTCTTGTCTTCCTTACCAAAGTGTTGACAGCCATGACACACCGTAAGTGCCCTCTGCCTTGGTGGATATTCCTCCTGCCGAGTGCCGGCCTTGTATATTCTTTATTTATTTTATTGTTAAATTAGTGTTTATACCGTTTTCATTTAATTTATATCTTTGCATTCTAACTTTTTTTCCAAATTTAATTTAAAAATATAAATATTAATATACAAAATAGATAAAGCCGGCCCTGTAGTGTACGTAATTGAAATGCGGCCATATGGCCTGCATTGGCTATTGAGAGGGTCGTTCTTCTTATCATCTGTGATGTTCTTGTATTTTTTGAGCTTATTTGGCTTTGATTTATGGCTGGTATCTTAAATAATACTTGAATATTACCTATTCACACACAACACTTATTTATTAGCTAAATTTTTTGTCATCTTGCTTGATTTGGTTTATTTACTCTTACGCCTTTTTCAATTTGGTTTAGTTGTTTATGGTTTGTCTACTCTGAGAAAATGAGGTTGTTAGTTTAACACTTACGGAAATGTTATCTTATTATTTTTTAAAATTTAGTTTTTGAGACAAATAAAAAGAAATCTTAGACAAACAATCAGAGTGCTTATATTAGAGATTTTTCATAATTTACTGTCTGAACTGCTTTATTGAAATCTTTGTACATTTTTGTAGTAGTAAAAATGTATATTCAAAAACTGTACGAGTTTAATTAAAAGACTAGATATCATTCGACTTTTAAATAAACAATTATGCGCATTGGTCGTATTGAATGTATCAAAAACTGTTCATTTAATTAAAACTTGAAATAGTTTACTTTTCTCAGTGTAGGTACCTGTTTGATTTCTGAAGCCAGATGACATTTTTGGCAACATTGCAAATTTGCATATATAAACATTTAACGATTAAATTAATTAGAATCGAATTGGTACTGTTATTAGGTCATGCAATTAGGAAAATTACTTAGCTGAACTAGTTAGATTCTGCCTTCCTATCCCTAGCGGACAGACCGCGCTCCTTGGCCCTGCTGATTGTGATAACCATACAGGTGATCAGGAGCGGTCAGGCAACTCATCGGAGTGACCCAACCTTATTCACTCACTCTCGCACAAACCTCCACGACGCTACAGCACTTTGTGACTTAACCGGGGGCCACCCGCACTTTTCAAACTTAGTATTATTTCCTTTCTTTTCTACAAAATTTTATACGATTTTATAAAATATTATACAATACAATTTTTTCCTTTAGCTGTTGCTAATGACGTAGAAATTCTTTTATAAGGTTTTATACAAAGAATTTCCACAGTATATAATAATAATAATAATAATAATAATAATAATAATAATAATGGCTTTATTTGTATGAATACCCAAAGGCGGATTAATTCTCTATATTATACCTTTGATAGCTTTTTTGGAGCAAAAATAAAAAAAAGTATACTATTTCTCATTAAAAAAATTACGTTAACATGTATTTTTTTCAATGTGAAATTTTTGAGTGGAAAAATGAAAAAAAAAATAAATTGAAGCCGTTTGAGATGAGGAACTACCATATAAAATATTATGAATTAAAATCATGATTATAAAGTGCTGACGGTAAACACGGGTCAAGTTGGAGTGGAATGCCCCATATACATAAACAGGGCTCCCACACCTCCTAAAATTCATAAAATTCCTAAAATTGCCATCAATCTCCTAAAACTCCTAAAAATTAAATATAAGTAGGCCAACTTGACTCGGTTTAATTAAGGTAGTTGTGCTAAAAAATTTCTTTTTTAAAAAGTAATTTAAAAAATATATATTTTTGGTAAACATTCAATTTTCTTAGTTTCTTTAAGAAACTTTCTTGACCCATCACTGGTAATATTCATAAGAAAAAATTGATTGCGGCAAAGGCCACGTCGTTTGACGGTGTGGATCACCTGATGTTCTTACATCTCGCCTCTGTTGACTTAACAACCGAGCATATAAGCTCAGGGAGTAATTTGTTTTGATTGTGTTCCACTACACCAAGTTGCCCGACACTGATGAGACCCAATAAAGGTCGAAACAGCTGTCTGTCGGTATTTGAAGTTGGTGGAACGCATTCAAAACAAAAAACTTTGGCTAGGTGTAGGTTTAATTTTTTCTTATATATTTTTGGGTTCTAGTTTATTAAATTCTTTTTAAAATGATATAGGTATCACAACCTACATTTTTCTTAAAAAACAACAAAATATACCATAAAACAAAATCCACGTAGTAGCTTCTAGACTTCTACAAAATTGTCATTTTTAGCCATATTTCGTAAATTTTCAACAAAAATATACCGTGTTATATATCAAACAAAAGGATTTTTAATTTTCTTTTAAATGATAGCTAAAATAGTAAACAATCTAAAGAATGTTTTGCTGTAATCATGCACATTATATTTTTTCTATTATGAGATTTTTTAGTAACAATAACATTACGATCATTGTTAGTTATTAACTAAACTGTTAATTTTTTTTCTTCAAAATATAAATATAACATCATTAAACTTTGGCCTACTTTTTTATCTATCGACGCTTTTTTTTTAAATAAAATTAAAAGTGGGGTGAAATTTTTACTTGTAGACATATACAAAAGTAGTAATTTTACCTCACTTTTCATTTTATTATAAAAAAAACTCGTCGAGCGATTTGGCTAAAAAACTAGTCAATATAACCTATTTGTAGTGATATTTATTTATATTTTTGTTAAAAAGAATTTTTTTCTTATTTTTTAAGTATAGTGTAAAGTTGTTTTTATTTAATTAAATAAATTCATTTGCATTATTTTTTCTCTTAAAATTCTCCAAAAAACCTCCTAAATTCCTAAATAAAATTTGTAATTTAACCGTGGGAGCCCTGCATAAATACTATAAAAAACAGCCAATAAGCTTATTTAAAAAAATCGTTAATAAATATTTTTTTTCAGGTAAAAACTTCTTAAACACAATCGAATACTTGGACGCCAAATCCAACGAATGGACCACGTTCATTCCCAAAGGCACCTGCGACTTCATACAAGTGCGCAGAAAGCCGCGCAGCAGGAAAAACTCGAGGAAAAGCATATCGGAAGACAAGAGCAGCACTAAACAAAACGGCAACGTCGCGACGTCTCCCAGCGTTGACATATCGGAACCCACCTCGGCGGCGGAAGCATCCGATTAAACGCGTTGTGCAAATTTATGGTATTTTGGGGTCGAAAATTAACTGAAATTTGCATTTCCAAGGCGCCTAAACGAGGAGACCTTGACATACTATATTATGTAATTTTCGACCTTGCATTGATATAACCTACATAAATAGATAAAGTATTATATTCATATACATAATTTAGGAGGATCGCCTTTAAATTTGTCCCGCGATCTAAAAATGGGACCAATTTAATTGCAACAAAAGTCAGCCATTCTCTCATCGTTACTTGTTATGTTTGTAGTGCTGTTACATTTTAAATAGAATATTTAATGGTATATTGTGCACTTAGAAGTCTAAATATCCTTTGCAAGTGCTGTGGAATTGTTAACTCGATTGTTTAACTTAAAGACCTATTTTAAATTCCTTTTTTGTGGTTACTTTTTGTCTTGGTTTTAAAAATTAATTTATTTAGCAAGCACAATTGCCATTACTTGTCTTGTGATTAAATGTAAGATATATTAAAACATAAAGCTTTGAAAATAAAGTAATAATAGTTAAATCTACACATACTCTACAATATACATTTTATTCTAGTGTGTAGATTTTGCTTTTACATTTTAAATATGAAAAATAGCTTTGTTTGCAGAGCTAATGCAAATAATATAATTAAAAATATTCTGTAAACAAACCTATAGAAAATAAATGTACTAAATTTTCATTTAAAATGTCATGTATCTCATTTCATAAATGCTAAGTTAGTGTTTAATGATTTTGTTTGCTCATTTTAATATTAATTCGCAATGCAGTTTTATATGTGTATATTGAGAAAAATAAAAAATATATTTTAAATACTCTTTTTAAAACATGCAATAAAACAGAAAGTTTAGAACCAACAATAATGTATTAAATTGTTTGTAAAAATATAAATTTCTACTAAATATATTCTTGTGATTTTATGTGAGAAATATCAGTTTTAGAACACTTTAATCTATTTTGTATTTATTATAGTATTATTGCAATTAGGAAATTTGCCATATTTAATTTATAACTATGGTATTGGAATAAATGTTTATTTATAAAAAGGATTTTAAATGTTTTACCCTACAAAAAATTAATAAACAGAATGAACTATACTTGTAAACTTATTTTGAATTTTAGTAGAAAAAGTCATTCTTGCTAAAAAGTTTTGCTTATTCTAAAAACTCCATAGCCATCTTAAAAATTTCGAAAGAATATACAGGGTGGTTAAAAAAACAAGATAACATATAATGTAGAAATTAATTAAAGATCTTTAATGGCTGACAAGATGCATTTTTCTTTGGTTCTTTTGAAGTAGATTTTGCTACTTTAAAGTTTGTTCCACCTTAATTTAGTAACTTTCCAAAAAATGTTACTTTCAATAAAGTTAATAAATTGATTTATTAATAATGTGGTAATTTATAGAACACATTAATTTAATTGTTTGTAAATACCGGCCTCGGTGGTGTAGTGGTCAGAGCTCCTGGGTACGAGCCGAGAGGTCGTGGGTTCGAATCCCGATATTTCGCGACCCCCCGGTGCATCACACAGCAAACGAAAAATTATAGAAGTGTATAGGATGACTCCGCGTTTGAATATCAAATCTTAAAGTTTTATCATAACTGTATTGAATCGTGCTTTGTTTTTATATTTTTCGGCTCTATACCTATGCACGACTATATTTAAAGTCAAACTCAATGGTGTCTTACAAGATACATTATTTTGATTTTCTATATTCAACAGAAGAGTAGAAACTCGACCCTGTCGAATGGTGCAGTCATATATGTCTCTAGAAATTATTAAAAAAGGGTTCAGTCCAATGGTGCAGCAACTTCGGATTCCTATTCTCCTCAGAGACATAGAAACTCAAGCTTTTCGAATTTTACTGGCAATGATTTTCGTTAATGTCCCCGAGAATTATACAAAAACAGCGCAATGCAATATCGCAACGGTTTCGACTTCTCTTTACTCTACCAAGTTATAGAAACTGGAGTCTCTCTAATACTGTTCTAGTCAATATTTCTGAGAGTATAAAAAGAGGGTGTAATATTGCAAGAAGTTTTGATCTTTTGATGGATGAATTTTCTCATTTCTCCATATGATTTTGTTGAAAATAGTTCCTTTCTTTGGTTCCTTTGTCTGATTTTTATTTACCGTAACAACTCAGGTATGTAAAGCACAGAGGATATGATGTTAAGTATATTTATGTATTATATAAAGTACCTATATTTGTATTAAAAATTTAAGAGGTTATGTTGAAAAATGATCGATATGCTATTAAACTTTAATAATTTAGTAATTAGGTCTGTTGGTAGACCCTGCACTATCTCCACTGATATATGTTAATTTTGTAATATTTAAATCTGGTTGATGAAAAAGTACACACCAGTGCAGGTTATTGTAGCATCTACGAACAAATGAATTAATGGCCCATTGGCAATTATTCCTTTAGGAAAAATATTCAACACAGCTTAATTAATTAATAAAATGAAAAAAATCACAATCAAGTCGTATATAGTTTTTTTTAAGCATAAAATAATTTTTATATTAATACTAGTTCAAAAGTGAAATTACGACCTCTATACTGTGGAGAGTATTGAAACGCTCGACTGACGAATACAACTCTATACCGTAGGGAGATTTAGAAATCGATATTCAAACGTGGCGTCATCCTATACACCTCTATAATTTTCCGTTTGCTGTGCACTGACACCGCGGTAGCTTAACCCTCAGAACAATACGCGACGTGGGAGATGTCTGTTGATTTAGGACTTTAGGGTTCTTGACCTTGAGACATCTCCAACCAGACTTTTAACATCCCCTTCAAATCCAACCGTAGTACCATGGTGCTGCAGGTCTTTTTCTTAAATCTTTTCTATCTTTTATGTATTTTTTCCAAATTTTTTAAGAGGGTTTTTTAATTATTTTTCCTTCGAAATCATTCTTTTAACTCTTCAACATCATCATTCTTTTTTCCGCCAATTTTTCTAGACTTTTATTCTTCTACCCGGATCAAGCTGGCCTCACATTCGCTCCGCGAGAAAAGGCCAGACAAGCTCCATGCTAATAAAAAAGGCTTAGTACAAGGGACAGAGACCGTCGGAAGACTGCGCTGCTACCACCCGTACCACGCATCTTCACCGCAGGGAGGTTCAAGAGGTGGAACCACACTTCCACGCGCCTCTTTACAGCCAACCACATCACCACATTGCCCTGCTTAAAATACCCCATAGAGACCTATACAAAATAATCTATCGGGCGCTACCGGATTCAATATGTGCATTTGTCCATGGTTTTTTCCGGATACAGCCCGATAGAAAATGTATAGGAAATTACCTATAGGCACACCATAACTTTTACATTTTCCCTATTGAGACCGATAGAAAATAACTCAATGAAGGATATATAGGGATATCCCTATAGAGCAACCATAAAACATTTGACAAAATTTTATTAAAACCTATGGGGTCCTATAGGGAAAAAACTAATTTCTACATTTATGTGTATTTGCCCCATTGAAACCGATAGCAAATAAATCAATGGTGGATATCCCTATAGAACAACCATAAATCTCAACTATGGGTCCTATACAAACCGATACACCCTGTAGAAACACCATACATCCCGATACAAATATCTATCGGTTTGAACAGGGTCTCTATGGGGTATTTTAAGCAGGGTGCGGCCTTTACTATTTACCTTTTTATGATCTGTAATTATTTAATTTAGAAATATATTGATTTTGATTTTGAGAGGTCGTGGGTTCGAATCCCACTTGGGTATGGTTGTTTATTTGTGTTTGTCCATTGTGTATAGTCCTTCGGAGGGGACTTTAAGCCGTCGGTCCGTTCCTACCCCTAACCCGCACAAGCCATTCAGTTGGCTTATGGGACATCTTAGTTTAGATGTAAGGGTGGAACTAAAAGAGCACTTTATAACTTGGTTATTTCCTATTTACTAGTTATTTTTTTCCTATTATAATATGTTAAAAAAATTATAACATATATTTGTTGTTTTTATTTTAAATAAATATTTTGTTTTTATTTTAAATAAATATTTTGTTTTTATTTTAAATAAATATTTTGTTTTTATTTTAAATAAATATTTTGTTTATAACTAAATAATATTTAGTAATTATTGATGAAGCGGATTTATTTTATGAAAATTAGATTAATTAGTTCAACAGTAAAATTTAAAGCGTTTATAAATTTACATGCGTTATTACAATATATTTTAATACATAAATTATTTAATGAAAAACGACATTGGAAACCAAAGTCTGCAGTGGTTTCATTTAAAAAAAGTATGTATACTATAATATAATATAATAAATATTTAATATAAATATGAGAGATAGATGATACAGAAATAAAAGAAATAAATAAAAGTTATTATAACGTTCTAGTAACGATACAGCAACGCTCTAGTAACGTAGCAGCTACGTTCTAAATAGTAGCAGGGTATATCGCTCGTGACATATTTGTTACCATTTTGGAACTCAAATAAGTGTTCCCCTCTTTAGTTGTAACCTACCCAGACAGCACAAATGTCCAGTAAATATCCAAGGGATATCCATTAGATATCTAATGGAAATATTATGGATGTGTGTAGTGATAAAAGAGTAATATAAAGATAGCGGCGACTGTCGCAGCAACGTAACGACTTCCTAAATTGTTGGCTACGTAACGAATTCTTAAATTGTTGCTTGGGTAATATATATATAATTTACAAGGTGCAAAAATTGTCGGCTCATAGGTTAAAGATGAATTTGAATAAAAAAAAAAATTTAGTACTTTAATTTTTAAGTCAGCAAAACTGCCACCCCAACGGTTAAAGGTGAATTCCTATTAAAATTTCAAGACAAATTTTCCTCTACCATTTTTTTGAATTAATTAACAATAAATTACGTAACACGCGAAGGGGGGGGAGGGGTTGCTCAAAGTGTGACGAGGCGGGGAGGGGGGGTTTACGACTTTGTTACGTAACACTTTTGAGCCTTCATTTAAATTATAAAATAAAATGTGAGAAGGAGCCAGTGAAATGCGATGATCGCAGCTGTTGTTCGGCTTTTAGAAGCCAATTTAAAGAGCTTTTCCCGAATAGATTCTTGCCTCCTCCAGTATCAGTAGGGTATAATGAAGATGCGTTAACCATTAAAGAACAAGGACACTTCTTGAATTTGTTTGGTACTCTTTCTCTAAAGGACAGGTTAAATGCACCCTTATTCTTTAAGAATTTTAAAGAAGTCCCATATGATATCATGTGTCCTTCAGTAAAAGAAGCTTTGCAGAAACGAATCTGCAAGAAATGTGGGCTTTATGGGGCTTCGCTAAAATATATGCTCAGCCACCAAGAAGACTGCGGGCGAGAGGCAAATATTAAAAGAATTAGACCAGAAAGGGTGGCAGCTAAAAGACAAAAGGAATTTTTGGTGCAACTTGATAAAACAGATCAGGAGTTACAGTGGATTGATGAAGATGTTTTAGAAAATGTGACTGTTGCCGAATATATCTACGAAAACGCAAGCATAGAAGTAATATCCATGGAAAATTTCAACACCATGGAAAAGTTCTGACGACTGAAAAATACCCATAAAATGGTGTTACGTAATTTATGGACGGCCCCTAATTGAATATCAGCGTATTTTTTTCCACAAAAAATTTCAAAAGGAATTTACCTAGCTTACTCCTTGGGCTGCAAATTTTGGAAAATATTTTTCAAAATAACCATATGCACTTTTGGGCTTTTAAACTCATTTTTTCAATACAACTGATTACCTAGATAGGCTAGGAAAAGTTGAAGCAAGGCGCATATGCTATACGCTTACTTATAAATCAGTTTTTCTCTATTTACGTAAATTTTGTACCTATATTGCAAAATTACAAATTTACCTAGGACTAATATTAGGAGAACTAAAGGGTTTTTCATTTAGAGCGTCAGAACTTTTAAATGAGATAAAAAAATAACTACATGTTATAATCCCGTAATCTATATTTTATTTTGAAGAACGATCGATGACATTATGTTTTAAATATAATATCGTTTAAATGTCCCCCTCGACTTTGCCTGACTGAATGCATTATGAAGACCTAATTTAAATTAAAAGTAGAATTCTACTATTCTTTTACAAATATCGCGTGGTATACTTTGAATAGTGCGTTTAATGTTTCGTTTAAGGTCGAGAATTGTTCGTGGCTTATTTTTGTAAACCTGAGATTTCACATGATCCTTTAGATGCACAAAAGTTGACTTATTTGCCAGTAAACCAGTTTTTTCTTAAACGATAAACCTTATATTTCTCGCAACTTGCAAAATGTTTGGCAAACCGAACATGCATTTTGATGGTAAATACGAATTATTTCTAAGCGCTGTTAAATTGTTATCTGCCCATATTAATTTGACACAATGTACTGAACACATGTGTTGTCAAGATTTGACATTTACATTCCAGAGCAGCCTTATTTTTAGGGTTAAAGTTAAGACACTCAAAATGGACAACCCTTTATATAAGTAGTTATTGTCTAAGAAAAGTTTAAACAAAGCGCATACTAGTGGAGCTCCACTGTACTAAAAAATATAGTTTCTCAGCGCGCCTCACCAGCCCCCTGCCACCACTTACTAAGATTATTGAAATTAAAGTGGTGCAATACATAATTCACTCAAGTTTATCGACAAATTTCAAAATTTATTTTAAAAATTCTAGACTTGCAAATTTTATACCATTTTTATTTTTTTTAAATTTTAGTTAAAAGAATAACAAAAATTTTAAATGGTATGAAATTTGCCGATAACATTTAGTGAATTATGAATTGCACCACTTTAATTTGAATAATCTTAATTAGGGGTGGCAGGGGGCTGGTGAGGCACGCTGAAAAACAAACTTTTTTTGCGCAGAACTAAACTCGTATAATTATAAACTTAAACATATACAAACTACAACATATATAAACATAAACTTAAGTTTAGTGTGGGTCTACTAACTGTTATATCGGCATTGATTAAGGTCTTCACTCAACGATATCGGTATACCCAAAATCCACAATCCGCCACTGACTTATGATACCTATCAAAAATTTGGTTGCTGGACACCTTAAAAGAAGCCTATCTACGTAAAGCTCTTAATATTAATAGTAAGATTCTCATCGCAATTTTCCCTTTTAATTTAAAACTAGTTAATAAAAAAACTTTATATCTTACTAACAAATAAAAATAAAGCTAAGCCCAATAAACAAAAGATATTACATATACTAAGTATACCAACACGGCGAGTTTAAAATTGGTATAATTTGACGATTTGGAAATTGCATTGTAAAAATTATTTAATAATATTATATTAATATATTACATAAGTTTTGTCCTTTAATTTATATTTTGCTGGGGGAATAAGGAAATCAGACTCTTCCCTGCCTGCCTGCTCGAAATTTAAAGATGTAGCGCTTAGACGGTGACCGCTTTTGATTATTACGTTGTACACAATGGAACGTCGTACTCTGCGGCTAGCCTCCACCGTATACCGTATATAATTGCTTATAGGTAGCACGCGTCCTGTTTGGTCGGTCTCACATAAAGACGTTGAATTTTATTAATAAATATTTTTTAAATCTTCAATTGTTTGTGCTTAATTAACAAACTCATAAAACAGTCTAAGAGCGTTAAACCGCAGGACTTTGGTGGCTAGATAACATCCCAACGCGCGAAATTACGAAACATTAATGAATTTTAAAACATTGTATAGAAAAAATCGATAATATGAAAATGTAAAGTCAATTCAACAGTAGCTATTGTTTCCTGGGAATGTAAATTGTGATGTTTTAATTTTTAGAGTTTAATTCTTAAATGGAAAATGTGAATTTTAAAATAAGTATACAGCATACGTGTGTTAAAGATTTATTTGTTCCTATTAATAATACTCAAAAAATTAAAATTGAACAAGCATTACATACCTGATTACACAGGTTAACACATTTAACATAGAACAGATAAACGCTATCCTAGTTAAAATGCTACTCTGTATAATATATAATATAATGTACAAAACAGTCGATAATTTCCTCTTAATCTAAACAGTTAATATACAAAAAATAGTATTATACCAATAAAGTTTGAATTGGTTTTTTTCCTGGCCATGCCTCCTTGGCATACTTTTTCTTCTTCGGCTCCAAAGAATCGGTATTTTGAACTTGCTGAGGTACAAACGGTGTGGGATTTGGAAAACTTTGTCCCATGTCCACATCAGGAGCAGGATTAGGTAGCACAATACCTAACCGGGAACTCAACGAACTGTACAAATTTAAGTTACTGGAACTTGGATTTGTATGAGACTCAGGGGGTAGATCATTGTATAAATCTGGCGCAGGACTATGCAGCGTTTTCGGCACTTTAAAGTCTGAAAGATGGATTCCCATGTTTTCAACCATTTTCGCTCGTTTCGCTGATGCAGGCACCACTGTAGACTGTATTAAATTTCTAAAACGCCCCACGCTGGGGTCTATATCTTCAGGGTTTATGATTTCCTCGTCTTCATTGAAAGAAACACTTTGTCTTTTGCGTTTTCTGCTATTACGCTTTTCTTGGTCATCAGATATACCCAGCATGGAAATTCTTCTGTTGTGGGCTGTATTGAACTCTGTTAAATTCTAAAAAGTATGTTTAAACACAGGTACTTTTATGCAGGGAGCCCTGCAGAAAAATTCTTGAAATGAGATTGCGCGGCTTTAAAAGTTTCACTTGGTGTAGATCGCTTTATGGGTGAAGATCTTTGCGTGAGAGGTTATTACAAAAACAACAATTCTTTGATCGTTGCGCGGAGATTCTTCTTGGCACACCATGGCTTATGACATAATAATCGTCCTCCATTGCCCTAAAAACGCGATCTTTACCCTTTATTTTTCCATGGATTCCCGGGATTTTTCAAAGGAAAACCTTCTTCACAAGCACACACTTTTTAATGCCGTGCAGTCTTATTTCAAGTTATTTCAAATAAAAATCAAAATTTTCTATGGGACACCCTGTATAAGATGGGGCAGAGGCCCAAAAATATTGCAAAAAAATATAGAAATATATAAGAACTTTTGCTCAATAGTTAACTATAGTTATATAAGACCTAAGGCTTAAATTCTATCATTACATTATTTTCTAGTTAAAATGACATTTTGAATTAGAGATCCGATATTAGAAAATAAACCCAGATAAGCTTGTGCTAACTCATTATTAAAAAATTCTCGAAGAATTGGTGGACAAGAAGGTATCTAATGATAAGAAATATATTTTACCTTCTTAAGCCGGGTCTACAATTGTCGCAGGTCGCAGAACATAAACTTGCGCAAAGCACCCAGCTGACAAAAGAACCTTGCTCCATCGCACTGTGGGCCCAATGTCCAAACTAGGTTGCATTAATTCAATTTTTTTTCTATTTACTTAAAACTTTAAAAATAATTAAACTTTGAGACTAACCAATGCTGGTAATTAATTATATAATTTATTTTTTCATTTTCCAGTGTTGCCACATAAGTATTTTTGGAAATTAATTTATAAAATACAGGGTTATCTTCAACTAGTGTAACAAACCATACCAACGTTATCTTCGGATCAAAATAAGTCGATTTAACCCAAATTACCTTTATACTAAGTTGCTTCGTTTAGTCGTTAGAGGTCTTTAAAGTTTTAAAAAATAACTATTTTTTTAATATCTTAATAACGTATTAATGTATTTCTAATATTTTTGGAATTTAAGTTTTAACTGCCAATTAACGTCGTTTGGTGCTAAACTCAGTTATAATTAAAAATTAGAATAATCAGAAAAGCAAGGTTAGGTACTAATTTTCGCTTGTATTTTTTTTACTGTTGATATAATGGTTTGCTAGGAAATAGAAAGCTTACTTTGTTTAAAAACTTTTTTGTCTCTTGTAAAAGTTCGATGAGCGGTTTAGCCAAAAAAAATTATTTTGTAATGTCTGCATACCTACTATCGATATATCGCGATAGTTACTATGTTTTATCCCGAAAATTGAACATTATAAATCTAGAGATTCCTTTTCTGAAAATAGTTCAATTTGACTCAACGCAGTTGCTTCGTTTAGCAGATAAAAAGTGAAATACAGAGTGTTGGTAATAGGTAAATGGTGTATAAAGAGGAGGGTTTTCGCATATTTTTTCGGTCACTTCCGGTTTCACCGGAAATGGGTCCAGGTTAAAAAAATTAAATAGAAACCCCTGTATATATTTACATTCTCGGATTCTTAACATAATTCTGGACTTAAATGTGATTTTTTAATGCCCTTTGAGCAATTTTTAACAATGCACCTAGGCCACCTTAATGTAATATTAAAAACGGATAAAAAGAAAAAGTAGGCGTAAACACTTTTAACAAATATTAAACGCCATGTATATAATTTTCTCATTGTCCAAGCAATACATGCGATAAACAACTTAAGATTCATATTAATTGTTAATATTTTCTTTTCTCAGAGGTTTACATTTTTGACTGGGATAAGTTTCGCGATTTTTTGCGATTTTTTTGGTTAACAGTTTTTAGTAGTCTACATTTTTGTCTAATAAAAAATATATATTTTGGCTTGGCATTCGTTGGCCTTCCTATTTTTTTACTCTGCAAAACTATAAAATTAAATATTCATGTTAATTACCTTATCAGTTCTTGCCAAAAACAAAAAAAAAACACGAATTTTCCATAATTTTATTTACCCAACACAACTAATTAGCCGGCCATACACAGACGTTATTGCGCGCGGTTTATCGTGTTATCTGCAAAAACATATGGAAAATCATGTACGTGAGTGAGTATCGCCGCGCGCAATGATAGAACGGGAAGGGATTTCAGACGTGCTTTTCTCTGGAGTGTGGCGTGTCCACACGCCACATTCCGCGTCACGGTTTACCTTTGCTTGGCAAAATTTCACGTTGAAAATTTGTACATGAGCACATGTAGTTTCAAACAACTCGATAAATGACACTTTTTGCCCACTCACATACGATTTTTCCTTTGAAACTGATATACCACGGGCAATCACTTGCTAAATCATTTGAATACTTTATCAAGTGTATGGAACATGACGCTTTTTTTGCCACGCCGTTCTTTCGTGCATGCAAACCGCTACATGCCAACACGCCACGATAAACCGCGCGAAATAACGTCTGTGTATGGCCAGCTATTGACAGGTCTAATGTCAGTTATGAAATGTTTAAGGCGACTTTTGCTTTTCATGGCCCTCTAAGCTATAAAAAAATTCGCAAAAATCGTAGTTTTAATTAAAACGATTGCATTAAAAATATACTTTCTTTTAAAGATCTGACATTGGGCATTTATAAAAAAGTCTTCGTAGAGTATTTTCAAAAAGCAATTATGTTTTTACAAGTTTGAATATGTTTTTAATAAAACAATAGTGACAAATTATACATTTTCAATAATGACTTATTGCAACCTAGTTTGGGCATAGGGCCCACAGTGCATCGCCACGTCGCGGGATGCTTTGCGCAAGCTTATGTTCTGCGATCGGACCCCTGCGACAATTGTAGACCCGGCTTTAGTAAATGACATTTTATAGGTTAATTTTGTTGTTTTTGTATCCAAGTAAACGATACATTATGGGAACAGACCTGTAATATTTTATAGGCTTGTATAAAAGACCTGTAAAGTTTAACCTTTATAATCTGTGCTTGTAGAAAAGCAATTTATAAAATTAAAAGTCACATTTGGCATATTAATTAAAATTTTTAATTTGAAAATTGTTATCTAAAGGTGAAAATAAAAGTTTGTACGTGTCATGCTTTGAAATTAATCTTTACTAGGCTCACTGGATTATAGGGTTCGCTCCTGCGTCGCTCACCCCACAAACTTCCAGCTCGCCCGTAAAGATTCATTTACAAAGCTTGACACGTAAATAACTATTAACAGGGTCAAAATTTTTAAACAGTCTATCAATAGCTGAAACAAGAGAAAGACATCTAGTATACTAGTATACTAACGTGCCTCAGCAACTCTGAATATTGTATATCGCAAAACTTGTAAAAATTTAAAAGTTCATGCTTTCTTTTAGTATGTACCTAAACTAAACGTTTTTAGAATAATGCATTCTAGGTAAAATTTCAAGCAATTGGAGGCATTTTTATTGAGTTGTTTAGCATATGGCAAAGGCAAGCCATATCGAAAATATCGGGATTATTATTTATTTATTCCGTAAAAACGCTAATCTGATGATGTACAGTTGTGCAATCTATTGTAATTAAAACGAAGAGATTTTGTTTATTAATACAAAACAAATTCAACTAAACTTACTTGAGACTCTCTGTCCAGTGCAATTGCACTGGACACCCTTAACATTAACACTGTACACTTAAGTAGAAATAGAAATTATAGAAACCAAACTTAATTAAGAAATTAAAATTACTTAAAATAGACGATCTGCTGTGCTCTACGTAAACTCGTATAAACGTAATGCGCAGTCATGATGCGCATCGCTCCCAGCAGTAATATGATAAAGGCGCCTACCCAAGCGCGGTAGACAGGAGATGTAAAAAGTTGTAAATTTGAATTATAAAATGGTAGAAATGATAATTTAATATAAGATAAAGTGCCGAGTGCCGAATGACCCGTATCGGTGCCCGTTCAAAATTAAGTTTTGTATAAAAATACACCCGTCTTAAAAAGGGGTATTTTTGGTACCCTTTTGGATTTTTAGAAAAAGGGTTTTTTTAAAATTCTATATAGAAAAAGCGTCTGGCAAGCCTATCTATAATAATCTATCTTTAATAGATGGGAACTATTTTAGGGACATTGTCTCACTAGGCGATTATTTCCATGCTATTTTAGGTACTAAAATGGTAAAGATACTTAAAGTGACTATAAAGGTAAAATAAGAAACATTGATGTACTACAAAAAACTCTTTGTCCATTATAAAAAACAAAAAAACCTTCAAACACTTATTTAAACAGTTCAAATAAAACTTAAAAAAACAAACACTAGAATACAAACGAAATAAACATAAATGAAGTAGGTATGATAAGCAATTGCAATAATGTGCATGCAAAACGCATGCGCATCAAGCCAAATTAGTGCGATCTTCGCAAAATAATGGATCAATCTCAAGATTCCCACCCCCTAGATTTAAATCTTGCGGGCTTAAGGATTTTTGAGCACGATATTAGTTGCTATGAGAAAATGTTTTTTCCCACTTTTTTCATTGTTTAAGAAATCCAAAAAAAATCATCCAAAATCATTATCAAAAAAAAACTTACATCTAACTCAGTTTCTGTCTCAGGAAGACCCAATAAACCTCCTTCGGTTTCTTCTCCAGCTTTCTCAATTTCATCAATAATGGGCCTCATGCCATTTTGAGGCCTTTCTCTTATAATATAATTTCTTGTACTTGCTCCAAAATGAAATGTAGAATCTATAGGTAACTGAGTTGGTTTGTAACCCTCTAAACGCATTGTACCAATAAAGGTTCCATGTGCTTGAAAAGAAAATAAAAACAACATGAATACATAATTATTTTCTTACTTACTGCTTCCTAGGTCCACTAAGAAACCCCTGTTGAGATGTTTGTGCCAAACTAAGGCACAATGTACTCGAGAACATGAAGCATGATCTATACAGAAATCATTCATTTGTACGTTTCTTCCAAATAAGTAACATTTTTTCTCATCAATCATCAACTTTTGGATTAGCTTTTCGCCTTTTAAAACGTCTAAATGCAAGCCAACAGGCGGTTTGCCGGCCCTAAAAAGAAACAAACCCTTAACATAACCTCAAACAACAATTAAATTTACTGGGGAACTTAATAGAGTTAGAATTAAAATTTATGAACCCTTTCACTTCAAATTTTACAACGTTTCTTTACATATTATAAAAGTTTTACTATTATTTACCAATTTGGAACTTCATAATGATTGGCCATTTTGGCAAATGACTACTAAAAATAACCTAAAAATATCATGATGAAATTTAGGCAACCAGGTTTACATTGACATTGGAATTCACAATAGTTTTTGCTAAATAATTATTAAATAATAATAAACCATTGGTGGTTTGTATAATAATAGCATGTGTTATACGAAGTTAACAACTTGGAAGCTGTACGAAAACATATCATGGTAATTTAAATTTATAATACGCATAATTTTTGGCAGTTAACCAATAAAACCATATTTAAGTAAAAATCTTTCAAAAAATCATTTTCAAGGTAAATTTCAGAGTAGTGTAATAAACAAATTATAGTAATTATTTAAGCAAGTCATTATACAGAAAAATCTGTTTTGTTTAGTTCATATTCATGTGGAGAGATAACAAATTGTATATTGAACGATACATAATAAGTGGAATTATAATTATAAAATATGACTGAAGAAGAAAATAGTAAAGATTCTTATTCGTGGAATAAGTTTTCAGAGAAGAAAATAGTGACTCTTGAGAAGAAAATACTTGAAGGTAAGCAAATCTTTTACTATAAAATATAATTTTTGTTCATGGGAAACACCCCTGTGGCATCAATAGTAAATTATTCAACTCCCATTTCATTTCTTTACTTAATTGGTGGCCGAAATTTTTCTTCTCACAAAAGGGGGCAAAATCGCATTTTACCAACAGGCTGAAGTTAAATGTGGAAAAAATGATGTTCAAACTAATTGATAGCTGCCACCAGGGTTGCCAGATTTTGCAAATGAAAAAGCGGGACACCCAAATGTTTTAGTTTCGAAAATTTCAAAATTGCCTCGAAAAAAAAAATATATAATTTTTTAATTATAAAATTATAAAAAAATATAAATATAAATAATATACAGTATGTCTCAGTATCTTGGAATCATATGGAAAACTTAATAATATACAGTATGTCTCAGTATCTTGGAATCATATGGAAAACTTTTTTATTATTAATTTTAGGAAAAAAAGTTATTCTTCATAAAAAGTTCTGCATGGTGTAAAACTTAAAATGCAACCCACAAATATTAATTTTTTTTAGTCGTATACGAGGTATGTCAAAAAATATGAATTTGGCGCAAGAGTAAATTTACTCTTGCGCCAAATTCATATTTTTTGACATACCTCGTATACGACTAAAAAAAATTAATATTTGTGGGTTGCATTTTAAGTACCTTTATATTTGACAATATCAAAAATTGTTATAAAAAAAAGTTAATCAGAACTAAAAACTACGTTTAAATATGCAATTTCATACATTTACATTTAAAAATTAGGTTTTGTTAATTTTTACTAATCTTTCTATTTTAAATGAACATTTATCTGTTATGATTAGAAAAAAACATGAAAACCTTAAGTTAAGTCAGGGGATCTAGCAGGTCAAAAAGTATTAGAATATCAACAAATCATTTGTTTATCAGTGAATCCTAGATTACATGTTACAGTTAAATTTGCATTGATATTGTAGACAAAAAAGAAATAATATTTTTTTTAATGTAAATGGATGTAATTGCATATTTGAACGTAGTTTTTAGTTCTGATTAACTTTTCTTTATAACAATTTTCGATATTGTCAAATATAAAGGTACTTTACTCTTGAGCCAAATTCATATTTTTTGACATACCCCGTATACGACTAAAAAAAAATAATATTTGTGGGTTGCATTTTAAGTTTTACACCATGCAGAACTTTTTATGAAGAATAACTTTTTTTCCTAAAATTAATAATAAAAAAGTTTCCCATATGATTCCAAGATTCTGAGACATACTGTATATAATCTAAATATTTAAATGTATTTTTGCTATGATGGAACTTTTTGAAGAATTTCTTTTCCATTGCTTATTAAAAAATTAACAAATTCTTTACATGTCATTTTATTATTAGTTTTGATCATCAATTCAGCTTCTAATTAGAAAAAAAATGTGTTTAAGCTTAACCCATTTTTTTTCAAACTGTTCTCATTAAACTAAAAATTGTTTCGGTAAAAAAAAATTAATTGAAGTTGGATCCTCTTTTAAAGAATGAGTCCACATTACATCGACATCTTCCGTGTTGTTCAAAATTTTAACAAAAGTAGGTAGTTGGACAAACTCCTCAAATAAAATATCTTCATCAACAGAAATTTTAATTTGTGAAGCAACTTCAAAGTAATTATTTAAATTATTAAACACTAGCAATATCATGGGACTGTTCAGAATCAGGTTAGTAGAATTTTAATAATTTAGTTTTTATCAAAATATTTAAGCATCAACGGAAAGGTTTTTATGTTGCCTTTATTTGAAGCGAAATTGGATGGTGTTCAGAAAGATCTTCTAAAATATTTTTTTTGCTATGGGGTCCCAAAACATTTGTGAGTTTTGTTCTGCCACAAATTTAAATTAAATTTAAAATGACTTAATAAAGATGTCTTAAAGACGTTGGGTTTTTTAACATTCGACGTCTTAAAGACGTCGTAAAGACGACGTGCGGCGTAAATAAGACGTCTTAAGGATGTCTTGAATAGCGAAGCAAGGCGTCTTTAAGATGTCTTAAAGATGTCTGTGTGCTGTTTGGGAATAAAGCTACACTCAGCAATTACCTTTTTTGCGTCATCTCCCGTTCAATTAAACATTTTTTAAAGTGCATTTGTGTTTGCTAAATTTTAAATGTTCTTTTTGTGTTTTAAACTTTTCATATGCTTTTGAATATCATTTTCGCCCCCATTACCCAGTGAAAATTAATGCTTGATTGCGATTGGACCCGATGCACACAATAACAAGTGATAAAATTGCCTTAAAATATGCTGATCTTTAATTAAGTTTTTTTAGACGTAGATCGTAATTTTCCTGTATTTTGTAAAAATTTTAAATTATTCCCTTTTTTCGTTCGCAATTTTGAAAGATACCTATTTAAAAATCGGGATTTTCGACGTGCAAATTGGAAGGCGGGACAAATCGGGACACATCGATAAAAATCGGGACAGTCCCGCCTAAATCGGGACGTCTGGCAACCCTGGCTGCCACATGTCAGATAAAATTGGCTTTAAATTTTTTGTGGTTGTTGAATAAAATATTGTGTGCAACTATTGGTCAAAAGAAGATATTTCACTCCCGTGTTACCTCATTTGCTAGCGGTAACACGCGAGTGGAATCTCGTCACATTTTTCCAATTTTAACTTAAAGCTAACTTTAGCCTGTGGGCAAGGTAAAATTTCGCCCACCAGTTAAAGTTAAGAAAGGAAATGGGTGATGGAAACTTCGCAATAAATTATATAAGGATCAGGTAAAAGCATATAAATTTTGATTAAAAATTATTGAACATTTTTAAATTTTACTAATACCTACTTACTAATAGGTATAATATATATGAAGGGGTTAGAATAAAAAGGGTATAAGTAACATTTTCATTTTTTGGAGATATTTGAAGTTAAAGTTATGTTACCATAAAAAAGTGAAGAATTTTGTTTAGTAATGTTTTTCTACTGGATAATAGAGGTCCCTAGAAGTATGAAAATTACTTAAATCCTTTTCATTTCGATACGTCGGAACCTTATCTTTCACAAAACGAACTTATCTCCTAAATTAAAGAAATTGCACTTATACCCTTTCTATTCTAACCCCTTCATATATTATATAGGCTATATATATAATATATTATCCAATCAATTGGCGATTCCATGATTACTAACGGGACCAACAGAAAGAAAACAATTTTTTTATAAAAATTTTGACGTTGTTGTTTCTATACCTAATAATAATTTTATGATAATTCTCAGCAATAAAATTAAGTACCTAAACCAAACCAATAGATGACTATCTTAAAGAGTATATAGTTTGGAGCCACATACTTCCACACATATACCGCTTATTGCCTATATTTTGTATAGATGACCTTGTTCCCGTTTCTAAGGGGAAATTTGTTCTCGTAGTGTGCCATTTTCCTTTATGCGCATAGTCAGTTCATAAGTGGGGGATTTAAAATATATGATACCATAGACATCACATAACATTAGATTAATTAATTAATACGTCCATTTATGATACGAATTGTCAACTAAACAAAATTTAGGTTATATAAAATTTTTCTAAATTATTTGATTTCATAGCCTGGGTTAAGCTTACAAACATTTTTGTGATTTGGCTTTATAAAAAGCAAAAAGTGGCATAATATGCATATTATGTAAAATCCACTAAAATCTCGTTAAAACAATGGAAAAAAACAATGCCAAAACAATTGGTATACAACAGAAAACAAACAAAATTGATAATTATAATAACCATCTACATATTTATATGTCTACCATAAAAATCTTTTGGCTATAATCGTGATCAAAATACGATGTTGCCAAATTTTTGCTTTTATAAAATTGCCATTATAAAATCTAAAATATCATCATTTTGTGAGTTTATTATTGTTAAATGCTTTTTTCATACAATTTACATCCAATTTATTAAAAAGTATTTATTATACTTCTTAAATAGGGACAAAAATATATTATTTTTTTTAAAACCGGCAATGCAGCTGACGCATGCGCCTCAATGCCCGCTACCCTGTGAGAACATTTCTCCTACTTTACCCCCACGAAATGGAAACAGTCTCACTGAGACTGTCTCAGTTAGAAATGATTTGTATATGTGTGGAAGTATGTGTTTGGAGCCAAATGAAGCGCCCTCTCTGAACTTCGCTAAAAATTAAATTACGTGTTTAAGCAGGGTCTACAATTGTCGCAGAACGCAGATCGCAGAACGTAAGCATGCGCAAAGCACCCAGCGACGTTGCGATGGAGCAAGGTCACACGTCGCAGAAAGTTAATTCATCTTCAATAACGTCTTTCGCAGGCTTTTATGTTAGCCAATCATAGAGCGCTAGAATCTATCTGTCTCTGTGCTCTCTTTCTTTCAATAATCAATACTTTTATTTAGTTCCTTTTCCTATTTCGCGGTTATTTTTAAATTTTTGGTGTAATTCTCAGAAATTATTCGAAAAACGTAATTGTCCAAATTTAAAATAATTTTCAATATTTTCTAAAGACCATTTAAATAAATGTAGGTATGTATATTCTTATTACTATTGAATATTCATACCTATATTGATTTAAATAGGTAGTTTTTAGGAAATATCGAAAATCATTTAGAATTTTCAAATTTTGATCAAAATAATTATTTAAAATTTTAAATAATATTAACTAATTCTATGATAATCTAAACAATTTTTCCAATCCAATATTGGAAATATTTGTTTACCAAAAGTATTATGATAATCAAGGTAATTTTTGTTTTAAAATTAATTTATTTTATCAGGTAAACACAGATTATAAAGGTTGGTGTGAAATACTCAACCCAGTGTCACCAACACTTTACTTTTTATTCCCTAAAAATTTGCATTTTTTCATTTATATTATATATATAATATACAAATATAATTATATATAAACTCTTAAACATTTTTTACCTAAAAATAAACCCCAAGCAGTTTTTTAGAGATAGGGATCCATCCATATCTCTGTTTTTTTTCACTAAATTTAGGGGAAACACTTCTACGTTGGCCACACTGTGGTTATAAAGAAAACAATTGCTCTGATTGGTCAATAAAAGCACATCGCGCGACAATTGTAGACAGCTCACATAACAACGACGTGTGACCTTGCTCCATCGCAACGTGGATGGGTGCTTTGCGCATGCTTACGTTCTGCGATCTGCGTTCTGCGACAATTGTAGACCCGGCTTTACAGGCAACTGTTGCCAACATAGCTTTTAATTGGTGGAAAATCAACGTATTTGATTGGTTACTTCAATGGCGCTATATTTAAAATCTAACTTGTGGCTAGATTTTAAATGTAATTAGTAACGAAAACAATAACTTTGTTTTCTACTATGTATTTAAGGTACTTCTGTGGTTATGCTGTTTAGTAATTCTCAAGCAACTTTTATAAACTAAAGAAATTCGCAGATTTATGGCAATTTAAAGCAATGAGTAAAACAAATGTATGTAAATGTATTTAGTATTCATTTGTAAAAGCTGTGTTTTTTTAATTTGTAAAATTCGTTGAATCATTATCATACTTATTCCCAAAAGTACCATTCATATATGGTAAGAAACATTGTTTTTGTTATTTATGATAGTCTACCAAAAGTAACTGTCTCATTAATCATTATTTTGAAATTGAATGCCTACCATCTGAAAGATTATGATTCGGTCAAAGTGTCGTTTATAAATTATTACTATAATACAAACCTTAGAAACAATACACAATAAAAACTAGAGATGGGAATCGGAAAGTTTCCATTTTAAGGAAACTTTCCGTTTTGGAAAGTTTCCAATTGGGAATTTATTTTCATTTTGAAAGTTTCTTTTAAGCTACCGGAAACATTCCTTGGAAACATTCCTTGGAAACTTTCCTTGTTTTTTTTTCATTTAAATGTCAATTTTTTAACCGCTGATTTTCGTTAAGGCCATGATACAAGGCCAAGAAACTTTGAATAAAAATTTAATTTGTGTTAATTTAAAGCAGAAGAAGTATAAATAATGTAAGTTATGTTACATAACCTCAATGAAGCCGGATTATTCAGCATCAACACAAAAAACTTTTTAAAAAAAAAGTAAAGAAAATAAAAACAATAAACAAAGTTAAAATCATTCTTACATTTTTGTTGTTTATTTATAGGCATAGCACAATGCCAAGAGAAAAATCTAGTGTTTGGAATTATTACAAAATAGTGCAAAAAAACAAAAAAGACCATGCTCAAAGCAAGTTCTGTAAGAAAATCTATGTTGTTAATGCAACCAAAAATTTGACAAAAAGTTAATGTGTTATATATTTTTGCATAAAAAAAATATTTTCGCAAAAAAAAAATTTTTTTGAAACTTTCGGAAAATTTCGGGAATTTTCGATGGAAAGTTTCCGGGAATTTTCGTCAAATGGGAATTTTCCCATCTCTAATAAAAACACACAAATACACAAAATCTCACAAAAATGCGATAACTACGGATATAATTGAACGTCAAAAACGTCAAAAAATTATAAAATCCGCGCCCTCTCTTGGCTTGGCTAAATATTATAATACTGATTTATTATCTATGGTCTAGGATTAAGTAATAACTATCATAAAATTATTGTTATAGGAACAACATATCTTCAAAAATATTCATAAAACATTTTGTTTCTTTTTGTCCCGTTAGTAATCACGGAATCGCTAACCTAGGTTAGCTATATATATATAGCTATCTTTGAAAATTTTCAATATTTTTTGATAGTATGCTTTTACCCAATTACTTTTACCTGAACCTTGTACATGCAATTCATTGGGAAGTTTCCAAAAATATATATTTTTTTTCATTACACATCCATTTAATTTATTAACTTATGTATATACCTATACAAGTAGCATTATAGTGACGAAAACTGATATCGGCACTTCAAATGAGTGGCAATAACTGTCAAATAACTAAATTTACCACGATACAGTTGAAATATCTCCATCCCTCGGTGGTGTAATAGTCAGCACTGCGGACTACACCAGGTTTTTTCAACTGATTTTTCCTGGGCAGCAAATTAGTAAACTATCAAAATATTAATCATAAAAAACGAAATCCATTAATTATCGACTTAGGTCACAAACAGTATTAGAGCCTTAGAATCACTATGTGAGAAACGGCCAAATTCTAGAGAAATTGGAAATGGAAATACGGGATGAGAGGCGACAAACATCGTCGGTGAATCGCTGGGTCTTGGCCCTTCGGACGCAGCCAACAACAGGAGTTCAAATAATCATAATAATAATAATAATAATATAATAATATATTTACCCTCGTATTTACCATAAACACTGTTAATAGCAACTGCTATAGCAGAGTATACTCTGATCTTTTTGTATTTTCCATGTGTACTGTGATATTTGTAATTGTGAAATAAATGTTTTGATTTGATTTGATTTGACTGCGGAATACAAGCCGAGAGGTCGTGGGTTCGAATCCCACCAGGGGTATGGCTGTTTATTTGTGTGTGTACTCTTGTAATTGGGCCTGGTGCCTGTTGGAAGTACATTAAAAAATAATAAAAAAATAATTAGCATAGTTGCAACTCTAGTATAGTATATATACATGTAATGATGTGATTTGCACCAGCAGAATATACTTCATAGTTTTATAACTTTTTGGTGTATTATAATACTTAGCGGATATAAAAATTATTTATCTAAAGGCCTTAAATAATTTTTTTTATTATTTCTGGTCACCTGAAACCAATAAATATGTATTAACGTGTTAAATTTGGTGGTCATAACGTTTCAGATACCAGACTATAGTCTGGTATGACCACCAAATTTAACACGTTAATACATATTTATTGGTTTCAGGTGACCAGAAATAATAAAAAAAATTATTTAAGGCCTTTAGATAAATAATTTTTATATCCGCTAAATTTATAGATTTTTATATTCTTTATTATTACCACATATTTTAACAGGGCGTGCTTATATTTCAAGCTATAGCTTATATATAAAATCCATTAATGACAGTAAAATTTAATTCGTATTAATTTTATGTCTTTAGATTATTTTAATTCTATTTATTATTTGCAAGTTGTATTCTTATTATAATTTTAGTATTCAGTGTTAGTTTAGAAAGCAGAGAAAGCAAAGGTAATAAGATAAATAATATGCTGGAAAGAGACGGGGATATAAAGTAAAGAGTAGTAAAGTTACTTTTAAGTTTTGGCCACTATACCTCCACGTTATAGTAACATAATCACAACGTGGTATAAACGTGTCTTTATACAATTCAAGACCCTGCTTAAAATACCCCATAAAGACCCTGTTCAAACCGTTAGATATTTGTATCGGAATGTATGGTAAATAGTAAATAGTAAAGTTACTTTTAAGTTTTGGCCACTATACCTCCACGTTATAGTAAAATAATCACAACGTGGTATAATCGTGCCTTTATACAATTCAAGACCCTGCTTAAAATACCCCATTCAAACCGATAGATATTTGTATTGGAATATTCCATATGTATGGTGTTTCTATAAGGTGAATCGGTATGTATAGGACCCATAGTTGGGATGTATGGTTGTTCTATAGGGATATCCACCCTTGATTTATTTGCTATTGGTTTCAATGGGGAAAATACACATAAATGTAGAAATTAGTTTTTCCCCCATAGAAACCCATAGGTTTTAATAAAATTTTGTCAAATGTTTTATGGTTGTTTTATAGGAATATCCCTATATATCCTTCATTGAGTTATTTGCTATCGATCTTAATAGGAAAAATGTAAAGTTATAGGTAATTTCCTATACATTTTCTATCGGGCCGTAACCGGAAAAAAATGGACAAATGCACATATTGAATCCGGTTGCGCCCGATAGATTATTTTATATAGGTCTCTATGGGGTATTTTAAGCAGGGGAACGTTGTTGGAACGTAACTGACACTAAAAAAGTGTTCCCCATTTTAGTCACTTCCACGTAATAGAATAGACTCTATTAGAGATTTTAGTTCCAAGTATAAGTGGCCAACACGTTTTAACCACTATAAATGCTACTTGGGTACATGGTGTATAATTTTTAAGGTATTAGCAGTTACTAGTACCTTTTATAAGTATGTATAGGTACCTATTTTTTTTATAAAAATTAGCAATTTTTTGAATGCTACAGTTTTTTTCATTAATGAAGTAAATTTTAGTTGTTAAAACAGCATACAAGGGATGGTTTGTAAACGTAGGAAAAAGTATAGAAAAGGAAGAAAAAATATGGACAGTTGCTTTTAATTCAAAATCAAAAAACACCCCTTTGGTTTTGTTACATGGATTTGGGGCTGGAGTTGGTTTCTGGTGTTTAAATTTTGATGCCTTTGCTAAAGATAGGCCTGTTTATGCTATTGACATCTTGGGTAATATGAAATAGTTTTATAGTTTAAAGCCCGCTGCACAATAGCCCGGTAACGGGAACGCGAACGTGAACGAGAATGATTGTTTTTTAACATTTGCTTACAAATTCTAGGAGTTTTACTCGATCGTAGAGGTAGACCTAAATATAATCATTGTTTTCAGACGTAACCTGATATGATGTAATATCGTACAAAAATAATATCGTAGATTAATATCATATTTATTAAAAAATATATTTTTCGTGCAAAAGTTTATGAATGTTTTTTACAATCATGCGGAAAACCATCAAATGTCATTTTAAAATGCAGGCTTAAGTATACTGCTTTTCTATTGGCTCCGGGAAGCCGACGGAACGGGAAAGTTAAAACTTTGCCAACTTTGCCAACGCGTTAACGCGTTAATGCAATTGCATTGTGTATACATACATTAAATTTGGTCTTTTTAACTTTTTTCCGTTCGCGTTCCCGATCCCGTTCCCAAAAACGTTTGTATCTTTTAAAAGCACTTTTATCATGTTCATCACCACATCATTTAGGAACACCCTGATTATTATTAATAATAAAAAACGACTTCATTTGACATTACATCAAAACGGCGAAGTTTGATCATGGACCATTCTGCCACTTAACCCTGTTTATCTTACAGGATTTGGAAGGTCTTCAAGACCAACATTCAGCCAAGATAACATGGAAGCTGAAATACAACTAGTTGATTCTATTGAAGAATGGAGAAAAGAAGTAAATTTGGATAAGTTTATATTATTAGGCCACAGTTTTGGAGGGTATTTAGCTACAAGTTATACATTAAGACATCCTGAGCATGTTAAACATCTAATACTGGCAGATCCTTGGGGCTTTAATACCAAACCACCAGATTTTAATCCTCCATTGTGGCTGAAGACAATTGGATTTTTCCTTTATCCTTTCACATATTTAAATCCTTTAGCTACCGTAAGAGCAGTGGGACCCTTTGGTAAGACCTTGGATTATAAATAAAAAAAAGCTGAACTAATCCATCTTACCTGTATCCAAAGTTGCTTTGTTTAGCCTCTAGAGGGCTTTAAAGCTACTGTTTTTTGTTAATAACTATTTTTGGGGTAAAAGTTTATATTTTCAATGGGGTAGTTAAATTTTTTCTGACCTATACTTTTTATGGTTTTATTCAAGGCGTTTTGTAATATTAAACATTTCTGTGAAATCAGAATTTCAATTGAGTTTACCGTTTTCGAGATATTTACAAAAAATATAAATTTTTATGACGTCACAAACCTCGCCATGTGACTAACATTCTAAGATTTCTATTGGTTGAAAATAACCCTGTTGTCAAGTTGTCTTGTTAATGATTTTATTCGGTTATGTCAGAAAATACCCGAAGAGGTTATGTACAAATACTGTCACTGTCAGTTGAGTGAAAGATGGTCACCAAATTCATTAAGTACCTATCTTCCTTATTACGAGGTATCATATTACTGTTTGATATTTTAGAGTCCAAGATATATCTAAAAGAATATAAAGAACTAGGCATTATACTAATGAAATGCATTTACGACAAAATATGATTATAATTATAGGTACTTACTTTATTTGTTTAAAAGCTCCAATGTTCAATGTAACCAACCATTCCACAAGATTCCTCTGCTTTGGAGTCCGTTATTAATAAATCACTTATCTAATATCAATTACAAATAATATAACAATAACATTGATTTTCAATAATCTAAATTTAAAAAAAACATAACCCGAAAAAAAGAAACGTCAAAAAATCAATTCTTCTTCTTCTTCTCAACTAAAATTATAGATCAAGTGGTTTTAAAACTAAAATATTATAACGTGGCGCCATCTATCGTAAGAATCTTAAACTAAACACACTGGCAACCATAGAAAAAGCTGGCAACGTTGTCAATAGTCTAGTGACGTAATTAGGAGATTTTTTTTTGTAAATATCTCGAAAACGGTAAACTCAATTGAAATTCCGATTTCACAGAAATGTTTAAAATTACAAAACGCCTTGAATAAAACCATAAAAAGTATAGGTCAGAAAAAATTTAACTACCCCATTGGCGGCTTTGGTCGCAAGTTCTTTTAAATCTTACATAACGATGCATGCATAGAATCGAAAGTGATTAGTTACAATTGTAACTTTAAAGTTATATTACTCATGTTTCGATATATCAATAACGAAATATTCTAAATAAAACACTAGAACTGGTAAATGTCAACTTTTTTGGTTCTAGTTTTTTGTTTAATCATAATAAATGTTATAATATTTATATTTTTAACTTAAAATATATTTTTTTTGTTTTTTTTTCAAAATAAATCTAATCTATAGATTATAATCTTAGTATATGTGAATATTTTGAAATTAAAACAGAATACTGGATCTAATTAATGTTACTTTTTGAACCACATAATATTACATTAGAGACCAGGCGGAGAAAGCACATATTATCGCCGAGCATACATTTTTCTATTTCTGTTCGGAGGTTAATAATAATTTGACTTTTGAACTAGAATTATTATGAAGTCTTTCTATATAAATTTATGAGTCTTATAGTATGTAAATTATTGTAGGCTTTAAAAAAAATATATTATACAATATTATGTATTCAGGGTGTATATAATAATTATTATATAATTTAAGGTCCTTGGTTGATTAAAAAAATGAGATCCGACATATCAGAAAAATATGCAACCACATTTGAAGATAAAAACATCATTCTAGAGTACATTTATCAGTGTAATTCGCAAAAGCCAAGGTAATAAAAACTAAAACCAAACAACAAAATAAGTGTTTTTTAATTGATATATTCATTTATATCTATATGTAATTATTTTATTATTTATAGCGGTGAGACGGCTTTTCATAGCATGATGAAAGGTTTTGGGTGGGCCAAAAATCCAATGGTAAACAGAGTAAAGGATTTAAATAAAACAATACCCATGACAATTATTTATGGCGCCAATTCTTGGATCAGTAAGGAGTCTGGTGTTAAAATCATGGAGGACAGACCAGATTCACTAGTGGAAATAAAAGTAATACATTTATTTAAATACCTGCACATAGGAAAATAATTTAATACTACAAAGTTAATAAAATTCTATATTATATATACCGGGTGTATCTAAGAATAGGCGCACCCCTTTAATTTTTTTATTTATAAAGATAGACACATGAAATTTAGCATGGTTAATTAGGGTATAAAATGCCACTTAAAATAGTACAAAGTGAATTTTTTTTCGCCGGAAATGATATCAACTTTCGATTTTTAAATGGAACGCCCTATATATTTTTACATATTTAGAATCCTGAGAAAATTCTGAGTCGGACAGCATCCTCAAATTGACCTTTCGACGTTTCGTCATCACAAAATGCATCATCATAAATCAATCTAGAGGGCTTTGAACTATTTGAGATAAACGAATTTTGACAAGTTTAGACTGCTGGGAATAGCTGAATAACAACTTTCTAAGGCAAACTTGTTTCATTTTTTAGGCATTGTGTGAATCCATTAGAAGAAAATAAGATAGTTCAAAGCACTCTAGATTGATCTTTATGATGATACATTTTCTGATCACGAAACGTCAAAAGGTCAGTTTAAGGATGCTGTCTGACTCAGAATTTCCTCAGGATTCCAAATATGTAAAAATGTATAGGGCATTCCATTTAAAAATCGAAAGTTGGTATCATTTCCGGCGAAACCGGAAGTTCAAAAAAATTTATTTTGTACTTTATAAGTGGCATTTTATATCCTAATTAACCATGCAAAATTTCATGTGTCTATCTTAATAAATAAAAAAGTTACAGGGGTGCGCTTATTCTCAGATACACCCGGTATATACAGCCCGTTCAGAATAAAACCGAATATAGGGAAACGTTTTGGGCGTGGCCTCGCCTCCCTACAACGCGCGTCACAGTAGCTTGTGTGATAAACGACATGACGAAAGGTCGAGCAGGTAAAAGCTTAAATTATTTTTTTTTCTAATGGTGTTGAAAAATTAATAATACATTAAAAAAACAAAAATTTTTGGCGCATATTTGAGCCCTTAATATTAATATTAAGGTTTGCCTCAATTCATTTGTTATTTTTCCATTTCAATAACACGGGAATTTTTATTTTTTAAATTTTGAATTCTTATAACTTTGGAATGGTTTGTTTTCGCAACAACCAAGCGAGATGAGTTATAGGCAATTTCACGCTCTACAAAAAACATCTGAAGGTAAAAGTTCTTCAGGTCAACCGTTTCAAAGATATCAGCGATCAAAAATAACACTAATAAAAAATTTCAAATATTTTCAAATAAAATACAAAAAAATATCATATGCCATATTTATATTATTTTTTATGTAAAATCACTTTAATTCTGTTAACCTGAGACTGTAAACTTTTTTTATGTATATGTATTTTGATAAAAATGTCCGCCATTTGAGGTCCACCATTTTGAATTTTGGAATTATGATTCCAGATTCATTATCAGTGACCACAAAAACCCCTGTATGGTGATTTTCAATTTATTCCGTCAATTTTTTGGCAAATATGTCCACCATTTTGGATCTACCATTTTGAATTTTGGAATTATAATTCCAGATTCGTTATCAGCGACCCCAAAAACCCCTGCATGGTGATTTTCAATTTATTCCGTCAATTTTTTGACAAATATGTCCGCCATTTTGGATCTACCATTTTGAATTTTGGAATTCTGATTCCATATTCGTTATTATCGACCCCAAAACCCCTGTATGGTGATTTTCAATTTATTTCGTCAATTTTTTGACAAATATGTCCGCCATTTTGGATCTACCATTTTGAATTTTGGAATTCTGATTTCAGATTCGTTATCAGCGACCCCAAAAACCTCTTTATACGGATTTTCAGAAGAATCCGACTACTCCTTGATATTTTGCCAAAAATTTCGAGAATTGAAACACTGTGGAGCGTGAAAATGTCTATAACTCCTCTTGCTTGGGTGTTGCGAAAACAAACCATTCCAATATTATAAGAATTCTAAATTTAAAAAATAAAAATTCCCGTGTTATTGAAATGGAAACACAACAAATGAATTGAGGCAAACCTTAAGGTTTAATTAATATTAATAAAGGGTGGGCCATCTATAAGTTGAATTTTAAACTACGTGCTATTAATGAAGCTTTCAAATTAAGCGCCATGAATTGCTGACAGTGGTTTAGTTTTAACCTTCCGATTACAAAATATGCACCGAATAAATTTGGATCAACGTTTCGAAATACTCAAAACTTACTTTGAATGTGACTGTGATCGCAGAGACGGCACGAAAATTGCGTTTGGAAGAAATGAGGCGCCGTCAAACCAAAGTATTACAAATTTGATCAAAAAATTGCGCAGAAATGGAATGCTGGTGGACATAAAACATGTTTCGCATGCTCGTCCTAGACGAACTCCTGAAGCAATCGCTGCTGTGCCCGAAAATGTACGCATGAACGCGTCAAAATCAACTCGGCGCAGACGTCAACAACTGGGCCTTTCCCGTACCACTCTGAGGATGATTCTGCACAAAGACTTTGGTATGTTTGCGTACAAAGTCCAGCTTGTTAAGGAGTTAAAGCAAGTTGACCTTCCACAACGTTTTCGCTTTGCTGAGTGGGCTTTAAACCAGTTGAACGATGACCCTAATTTTGTAAGAAAAATCATCATTTCGGATAAGGCGCATTTTTACCTCGGAGATTATGTCAACAAGCAAAACTGTAGGATTTGGGCCACGGAAAATCCACACGTCGCCGTAACAAAGCCTATTCACCTTTTAAAACAAAACATTTAAGCTCAAATTGCCTAAATAGAGCAGCAAACTTTTGACAAAGTGCTTAAAAATTGGTGTTCCAGGATGGGCTACTGCCGAGCCAGCTGAGGTGGCCACTTAAATAAAATCATTTTCCATACTTAATCGGAAGAAATATTGTATCAAATAAAGCAAAATTCGTTGAAAAAAAATCAGTTTTTCTTGTTCTCATTGCTATTTTATAATTCAACATAAACATGGCCCACCCTTTATTAAGGGCTCAAATATGCGCCAAAGTTTTAATATTTCTATTGGTTGAAAATTACCCTGTTGTCAAGTTGTCTTGATTTCATTCGGCTATGTCAGAAAATACCCGAAGAGGTTATGTACAAATACTGTCACTGTCAGTTGAGTGAAAGATGGTCACCAAATTCATTAAGTACCTATCTTCCTTATTACGAGGTATCATATTACTGTTTGATATTTTAGAGTCCAAGATATATCTAAAAGAATATAAAGAACTAGTCATTATACTAATGAAATGCATTTACGACAAAATATGATTATAATTATAGGTACTTACTTTATTTGTTTAAAAGCTCCAATGTTCAATGTAACCAACCATTCCACAAGGTTCCTTTGCTTTGGAGTCCGTTATTAATAAATCACTTATCTAATATCAATTACAAATAACATAACAATAACATTGATTTTCAATAATCTAAATTTAAAAAAAACATAACCCGAAAAAAAGAAACGTCAAAAAATCAATTCTTCTTCTTCTCAACTAAAATTATAGATCAAGTGGTTTTAAAACTAAAATATTATAACGTGGAGCCATCTATCGTAAGAATCTTAAACTAAACACACTGGCAACCATAGAAAAAGCTGGCAACGTTGTCAATAGCCTAGTGACGTAATTAGGAAATTTTTTTTGTAAATATCTCGAAAACGGTAAATTCAATTGAAATTCCGATTTCACAGAAATGTTTAAAATTACAAAACGCCTTGAATAAAACCATAAAAAGTATAGGTCAGAAAAAATTTAACTACCCCATTAACGCACATAAAAAATTACACAAAGACAAGTCCGGTGATCTTGCAGTCCGTATGTATAAAATTACGCACAATATCATTAAATTGTTGTTCTTGCTGGTAATTACCCTGAAAGGCCTAGTTGGGAACGAGTTGTTTAAATTTGTCGATCTGACATCCCAGTTAAATGCCAAGTTATAAATTAAATTTTTTCCTCTAATTGGAATTATAATTTTTTTTGTTGAGAACTTTAACAATTTTTTTACAAAAATACCTTCGCTTAGTTTTGCATTGCTAACTGAAAGATACGTTTTGTTAAAAAAGTCATATTGGGTAGCGCTCGTTCACTCGCTCAGAGCAGTCGATAACAGTCCGCTTCCATAAAATTAATGGCATAACCACTTAAATAAAGAATAACCATAGTCTCACAGTTGATCTCACTTCCGGTCAAACCGGAAGTCGCATTTTGTTCAAAATACTTAATGGATTATAAACGCTTTTAAATTTTAAATCGATATTTTTTCCTTTCTTCAGAAACTTCCAATGGACTACGAATGTATATATACCCTGTATATCAAGTGGTGTTTTTAGGTTGTGATACCACTATAGATTCGAAAGCAATGTATAATCGTCAAACTAAAAGATCAAGATCAACATACATACATATACATATAAGAATTTATTTAAAAAAATCAAAAATTAAAACTTAAAAAAAATAAAATTGTTATTTTCTTTAAGTATAATTTTTGTATTATGTAAAAACATAAAATATTTGAAGAAAAAAAATGATTTATAACAAAGTAGAGAATTAAAAATCTGTTTAGGTTAAAATAATAGGAATTTCTGTGTAAAAAATTTATTATATATTTCGTAAAACGGTGAGACACGGGTAATTTTTTTTAACCGTTATTTTTAAAATTTGTTAAAATTTTTAATGGGAGGAAAATCGTGTTGTACTGTGTAATAACATATGTAAGGTGTAATAATTATAACAATTATAATTTTTTACATACGATGCGCTTAAGTTGCTTTCAAATAATTTGGATGATACCCAAGTGAAAAAAGACAAGTTGGGAAATAACGTACACCATAGGTATACTATAGGTATTACACTGACGTCTGGCGAGGCTGCTGTTCCCTTTGTCCATTATACTTGTAATGGATAATATATAACAATTAATAACGAAAATGTTGAATTTTATCGAGTTATTTTTTTTATAATTTTTTTAGGTTGTTCCACAAGCTGGTCACCATTTGTATGTAGACGAACCAGAAACTTTTAACTTCATGGTTGTGGAAACTTGTTTAAAATGCGATGGAGAGGATTATGTTCACAAAGAAAAAAGAAATAATGGTAAAGAAACAGATGATAATGAAAATTTTAACCTAGAGACCGCTGCAAATTGACTATTTTATATGGGAATGTTCAGTATTTTAAGTCATAGTTCTATACACAAAATATATTTTCATAAATAACCTATTTATTTTTTTATAAAAATAAAACTAACAAGTTTTAAAAAAATGCATTTATTTTACTAAATAGTTATCACAGTATTATTTTCCAAGATAAGGAGAGTTGTTTTTGGCTTTAAATTAACAACAAAAAATGGATACAAAAATATAATATAAAATTAAATTGATTAATGGGATAATCAATAAATAACAATTAAAATTCTAGCAATAAATATGTATAAAGTGCATTGTTGTACTTAATTGATTATTTTTAGTTAGGTAAGTATATAAATTATATTTTTATGAGGGCATAATGGCCTTGTTTGATTTTCGATTGTCGGTGTAATTGCAAGCTTCTTGTACTACTTGATTAAACATCTCTGGCTTATCAGCATGTATATGATGACCTGCACCAGTTATTACCTAAAAAATGATAGACAAATAAGATTGCCTTAATAACCAAATATTATATTTATTTTATATTATTATTTTAAGTTACCTGTGATTTAAAATAAGAATTGATTCTTTTATCTCTTATAATATTAGCTGCTGAGTGGTCAATCCAAGATCTTGAACCATATATTAAAGTAATTGGAACATTAATTTCAAGTTTATCTATTCTTTTGACCATTGGGTTTTTAGCCCAACCAAACCCAGACATCATCGAGTGGAAAGCGGTTTCTCCACTAAATTTTTAAAAGAAAATATGAAATATCAAAAATAGATTATTTATATTATAACATTACTTTTTTTATCTAGCAAATTAAAATTGTATTTTAAAAGTTTTTGAAAAAATTACTTTTTACTTTGTACTTATGTAGTTACCTAACTATTTTTATTTGGGTACCTACTTTTATCTTGTACTAGGTACTATTATTGTTTTTAGAGGTACAATGCCACTATATAGATCAAGAATGTACAGACCAAAGTTAAGTAAAAATTAAATAATGGTAGCTTTTAAATAAAGTGACCATATAAGAATTTCTTTGAAGGGGGACAACATTTTTTTACCCAGTCCCGGAAATCGTCCAAGCCTGTCCAAACTAGCCCCGCAGGTAAAACGTTTTTGACCCAATTTTTTTAATGAAATGAATTGTAAAAAAAATTGTCAACAAAATTCATTTATTAAAAAACACAAAAAAAATCAATTAAATTAAACCAAATTCAGATATGACGGTTGTATTAATTAAAAAAGCGTGTAAGAATTAGAATGAGAGAAAATTGTCACCATAATATTGCTTAAAACCGGCTAATCATCTTCTTTCAGTTATTTTATATGCGCAAAATGCCAAATCTGTAATTTTTTTTTTAATTAATTTCCGACGTCACTGCTCTGCATTTTTAATAACCTTTAGGTGTATAATAATTATTATGTCATATAAGCCAGTCGGTTTTAAGCAATAATAATATGGTGACAGTTTTCTCATTCTAATTCTTGTACGCTTTTTTTATAAATACAACTGTACATTAGAGTCATGTCACATTCTCGTCCCAGCCGTCGAGTGAATAAGTCGACGCAGCAGAGGCAGAGTAAACGTAAAACGTATAACGATAAAACCATAACCAACAAATAAACCTTCATAGTGCAAACTAATATAGTGTAAAAAAAATACTGTGAGTACAGACTACAATACGGTCAATAATTAGTTGACGGCCAAGTGAAAAGGAGGAGTGAAGTGACAGGTGCAGGCGAACATAGTGAAACGGTCAAAAGTTTTAAGCGTTGAGTGACAAGAAAGTGTCGAGTGACAAGTGTCAGTGCCTGAGCGGTCGCACCATCGGTCAACAGGTCGATCTCCACAGACCAAACAAAAGAGGACATACAAGGGAGGAACAGGCCACCTGCAAATATTTGCTAAGTATTTCCAATTCTTCCGCATGACCTAACACATAATTTGCAAATTGAACTAAACAAGGCACATTGCCTAACTAAAAAAAAAAACAATAATCATCGGCATTAAATAAATAAAAGTCAATTTTCCAAGAAAAACCAAACAGCCGATCGCGGACACGCACCAAAGTTGAACAGGGCAATAAAGCTGTCAACATAACAATTCAAGTAAATAAACCGAGACCAAATAAATTTGACACTTAAGACATAAGCAACATAAACTAAGAAAAATAAACAAAGTTAAAAAAAGCACTATAATCAAACTCCATCGAATTTTTAAACACTCTTGACTTCATAGTAAAAGTAAAAAAAATACCCCCCACTGGGAACTGCCTTATCGCAGCGATTGCACATCAGCTGTTTAACACGGTGATAGGTTCGTTACGCGAAACTGAAACAACAGCAGAGACTAGACAAAATTTAAAAATATTTAATATTAAACAACCACTTACGTAATAACCTAGGAACGTACAGACCCTACATCGAGGACGCAATAAATGAACTAAGCAGTCGTTATGAACACATAAGTGACAAAACAGGACAAATTAATGCGTACCTAAACGACCACGGTAATTACGGCTTCTGGGCCGGACTGGAAACAATACTAGCCGCCTCAGACGTATACAACGCAACAACATACTACAAGCCACCCTTAAACTAGACCTTACAGACAAAAAAGTCGGGAGACCATGCTTCACATTTCATGACACGTTAGCACAAAACATGCACTTCTCACTAATTAACAAGACCAGTTGGGAGCAACTTAGCAACAATAAAAACAAAATAAAAAAAAACAACCGACACACTTTACCAAGTTCAGGAACTATCCGACACGGATAATGACAATAATGAACAAGACGAAGACCTCGACTAGGTAACTACACACTGCAGCAACAACAACTCCCCAACTCCAAATAGTAATCCCAAATGTTTGGAGTAATATTAATCGACTGGTCTAGGGGGATTCCGCGTCGTACTTAGTTTTAAGTCGGCGTAATTGTCCCCCAAAAACCAACACCCTCCCGTCCCTTCTCCATACCCCACTGAGCGTATAGCATAGGCCCGGCGAACCCGGGAACGGCTATTATAACTATTCGCCTCTCGCTCTCGAGCCCCAAATAGGGGACATTACGGAACGCAATGGACATTCGCACCCAGCAAACACGGGTGAAGCCGTGCAGTTGCTGGGGAAGAACAAAAATCGGCGTAAGTAAACATAGGCCTGTACGGGGTTCGAGAGTCAAGAGGAAATGGGGCTGGTTATACGTCTCTTATACTCATACTCATACTCATACAACTGTACATTAGAGTGGGTCGAACATCCGCTTTTTTCGAAATTTTGTAATAGCAAATATATTTCTCGTTAAGGTGAAAAAAATACAAAAGGAAAAAAATTTCGCTCAACATCTTAGGCTCACCAATTTCACTTAAAACTGAAAGTAAAAAACTATTTTTAGAGGTAATTTTTTTTAATAAATTAAGTTCTCCACAAAAAAGGTCCTTATTAATTCGATGGGCGGAAGGCAAAACATGAAGGGGAACCTGAACGGTAAAGGTGGGAGAGACTCAGCAAACACTATTAACAGTAGGTGCGTTCTTTTCGCCTGAGATCTCAGTTAATCTCAGCTCTCATCGGTAAATTTTGCAAATGTGCGCGTTCTTTTTGCTTCACTCACCATAAAGTGAGCTGAGATTTTTCCTCCCCCCTCACCGATACTGCACATGCTGTGCGGGGGAATCAGTTTGAATTAAGTCGGAAATAAAGTGGAGGGGATAAATAAATTATTGATTTGTTAAGATTTTAAATAACATAACCTAATCTTATTTAGGTGATTTTTTACAATAAAACTTAAATGTTGTAAATTAGCTATAAACTTAATATAATAAATATAATTCGAATAAAATTGTTTTTCAGAAGTAGAAAAACACTTTACAATAAAATTAAACAAAACATGTCAAAGTGAAGTTTTTTTATAAATTTTTATTTTGTCATTAAATTAATATTCTTATCAAAAAATTGTTGTTTTTGTTTGTCATCCAATTATGGAAAGAATAAGTATTATAGATCGGGAAACATCTTTAATATATACACTAATTTATCCACTGAAGATGCACAAAGGGTGCAGGAAGGTATTATCCATAAAGCCTGATTTATAGATTGCCTTTCTTCCTTCCTTTCTCCCGTAAAAGATGAACAATACGAAAATCGTAGTGCCATTTATAGATTTCCGTACGGATCTATTTATTAGGCTTAATTCAACGCAAATTTAAACATAGAAAAACACGAAATTTAAACCATAAGGATATGACACAGAACATAATTATATCATAGATAGGTTATGTTGCCTCTTATTTACGTATTCGGCGTCAGATTGCGTTTCAATTGAGTGTGTCGTTCTTTTAAATGCTTACTCAGATCACTACATCTCAACTGAAGTGAGCTGAGATCTCAGGCGAAAAGAACGCACCTAGTGGTTAATTATTTTCTCCCACCTTTACTGTTTAGATTTCCGTTATCTTTACCGGGCTTAACTCTATTAACTGACAATATAACGGAGATATTTTTAGCATTAACATGGTAATTTAAATAAAATTATATATTATGGAATGCAACACATACTTAATAAATTAAAGGTAAAGGTTTTGCCTTCCTGCCATGGCAGGCTGCCAAAGTATCGCATAAATATTGTGGTTTCTGAGATAATTTAGAAAATTTCGATTTTATCTTAAAATATACATTTTTATAACTGAAATTGCAATTGTTTGAAACTATATTTTTTCGATAAATAAAAAGGATGATTTTTAGACAGTTAACAAACTTAATAAAAAATATTTTTTTCATATTATAACACTGATAAGCCTATATGAAAGACTTAATTTTTGTACCCAGTGCAAAAGTCAAATTATTATACACCATTGAAATTACATATCACATACTTAAGTATATGTTACATATAAGCAGTGGTTCCATCTATCGCATTTAGTTGCAGATAACTAAAAATTACTGGTCACTGCAGTATAAATTCATACACATAACCTATAATATTACACACAGAACATATGTCAAACGTCATACCTAAGACAAAATGTAGCAAACTCGAGAATTTTAATGTGAGTACAGAATTATTAAGCGCTTGAAAAAAAATAGTACCTATATACAACATGGCGGAGAAAGCATGCCTCGCTCAGATCTGCTGCCTCAACTAGCGTTTCTGCAGCGAATTCTAAGCTCGGCTTTAATAAGCGCTTTCTCCGCCTGTTAAATAATTATTTAAAATATTAATAATTATAATGATCTATTTGTAATAAAAAACAGATTTTTTTTAGTTTTAATTTTAAGTGTGAGTCTAAGATGTTATATTTTTGCTATTAGGTACCATATTAATTTCGAAAAAAATTGATATTCTACCTACTCAAATGTCCATAAAATATTTAAAAATTAATGTAGGTAGAAGTTTAAAACGTCTTGCCCCAATAATAATAAATATTGCACTGAACAAAATGCGGTTGTTTAAACGATTTTAACTATATTTCGTAGTTTCCTCTGTATCAGATGGCGCGCATAAAAAAGCAGTGTTGGTTGTGTTTTTAATAAAATACAAAATACAAATAATGACAATTTTAGGTTTTGTAGCCTACCTAGTTTAGCCATTTGTAAATAGCATTGCAGACTGTTAATAGATGGCCCTCTAATATTTAAAGATATTTAGGGTGACACCTTGCGTCAGAGAATATTTGTTTCAGCGGGGAATAATTCCCCTTAATGTGGGACAAATGATCACTTTATTTTAAAGCTGGTAGTAAAGTTATGTTATTATTATTTAGTCCTAATATTTACCTAGGATTCTGAGAATTACACTGATAAATATACTGTGGTATTAGGTTAGCATCTTTTAGAGCAACAGAATATTTCTTTGAAATATCTGGGCGTAAAGTATTTATAAACCACGCTCCTAAAACAAAAAAGTAAACTGTATTATTCAAAATGCGATACAAATGGGCGGACCTAACGTTTTAAAAACCTATTTCTTACCAAATGGCCCTGCAACTCTGATACCAGCCAAAGGATTAAAAGGTTGTAAAACATAGGTGACACTCCTAATCCACAAAGGAACCTCCTTATTATTTTCAGGTCTCTCAGGGAATCCCCAGGGATCAGCCAGGATTAAATGTTTCACATATCCTGGATGGCTAATGGCAAATGAAGCTGCCACAAAGCCACCCATACTGTGACCAAGTAAAATAAACTGTTTTAAATTCATTTCTTTGCGCCATTCTTCAATGGCCCTAACCATTTGCTTTTCCGCTTCGACGGAATCTGTACTGAATGTTGAACGGGAGGATCTTCCAAAACCTTAAATAATAATGATGTTTATTTCCATAAGTAGTGATCATAACAAATTTTTTTTTCTCTGCTAGTTTTTTTTACAAGGTGTGCTAAAATTAGTACATGAAAACGTGAAAAAATGGATAAAAATTCAGTCAAGTAGAGACAAAAAATTGTAGAAAACGACGTACTAAATTAAGTATGCCATAAGCGAAAGGGTTAAATCCTTTTAATTTCAAAATATTCACATAAAATGCCCCTACATCTAGAAAGTTATGATATAAAAAATGCGGAATCAGAGCTGAGGTCTGTTACAACACAATAACACATACCTGTACGTAATTTTTTGGGTGATACCACAACATGTTATTTATCGCTTTTACACCAATTGGTGTAAAAGTCTATAGACAAACAAATCTACTAAATCTGAATCATCAATGCACACTTGCTGCCTGAATTCAAATAAATTAAAAAAATTCTTATTACCCAATAAATCTATTGCATATACAGGTCTGTTGCCGGCAAAAGAATCTAAATTCAGACACCATAAAGCCACTCCGGCACCTAAACCATGTAAAAGAACAAGTGGTGTATTTGGTGAGTCAGTGTTAAGTGATATGGTCCATATTTTGTCTGCATGACCCACAACAGGCCCTATGTCCACATAGAATCCTCTATGTGCAATCCTACATACTGAAATTTTAAAAACTTAGAAATTAACCTAACAAAATTTAATTATGCTAAAACCTACTTTTTAAAATGGATTTTTCTAGGTTTCTTAACATTCCTTCAGAGTATTTGTTCCATGATAACCAAGTTGGACTTAACCAGCTGTAATAAAAATATTGTTTGATAAAGACAACAAGAAACATAAAAAAGTTAGGTTAAGTTATATAATCTTCATAAATTTATCTTACCTAAATATAAACACAATGCAGCTATAATATAAATTCGTAATTATACTAAAAGACGGCAGTACACAGAGGAGTACACTTTGCATGAAATTGTCAACCAGCTGTGCTTTGTTCATATTGTACAAAATAGATAAAAATTAATAGGTAGTAGTGAAAAATAAGTAGGTAGGTAGGTAGTTTATAGTGTTTTTGCTTTATTTGGAATTAAAAATTCAAAGACGAGTTTAATAATGGTAATGTTTTAACTATGTTTTTAGATAAGTTAAGATAAGAATTGAGTTAAATTTAAAAAACCTTCCTATTTGTTTTGGATAAGCCTTAAGGCGTATTGTAATTACAAAATCACAGGGTACAAAATTGTAAAACTCATATATAAGCAGTGTGGCCAACAGCATATGGATATTTTCTCCGCCTATCCCAACAAAATTCTCCGCTTTTCGGTCAAATTCTCCGCATCATAAAATCAGTAACAAACAAAAATGAATATTCTTTTTTTATGAAAATATTGTAAATTTAGTAAAATATTATAGTCGAATATTATAGTAGAATCGTCAATCAACGGTAGAATTATTTAACTATAATATTTTGATATATTTTCAATATTTTATTGGTTCATTTAGCAATATTTAAAAATTGCCACTAAAATTGTGTGAATAACAAGTTTTGTACTATGTAGGTTAGGGAGTAAAGGTAAAAACAACAATAAAAATAAAAATATCTCTTTATTAATTAAATAAAACTAAACAAAAGTTTAACCCAATTTGCGTTACGCAAAATAAAATGTGTTAATAAACAATAATATCAAACAACAACAAAAATATCAAAGTAGGTACATTAAAACCAAATTATTACTCACCACAATTTTCTCAGTAGGCTGAGACACACTTTGCGACGGCAGGGACTCTTGGTCTTTTAAGCTTTCCTTCTAATAAATGAAAAAAATCAATTTTTGCACCAATCATTTTAAATAATTAGGTAATGGTAATTTAAATTTCAACTTACTTTTTTATGCAGCTTCAACCACTTATCCATATCCAACAATGGGAAATAAACAGAAATAGACCATATTACAAAAAATAAACAACATATTACAAATTAACAACATTGTTGTAACCTTTAAAACGTCAAAATAAAGGCTTAGGATTCTTCGTTAACGATCGATCGTTCTAAATTCAAACTTCGAATGTGGACACCAGTGTTGCCAGGTCAAAGTATATTTTTTCCATAAAACTTTTTATAAATGGTTTTTTCAGTATACCATTTACTAACATGTTAGTAGACCTGGCAACGCTGCGTAACACCAGTTACGTTGTTGCCAATTGCACAACCGACTATTGAAATAAAGCGGGAAGTACGTCAAACTATAAATGATTCTGTGGACGATTGCAGGTTTATCTTATGAATGGGAACTGCAACGACCATTAAATTCTCCGCAAATTCTCCGGCAAAATCAATTCTCCGCAACATTCTCCGCAGACCCTCAAATTCTCCGAAAAGCGGAGAATTCTCCGCTGATTGGCAACACTGTATATAAGAGGAGGGAATCCCAAAAACAATAGTGGTGGGGTTGTCGTTTACCGTAGGTAGGTATACAGTATTTAAAAACACTCGACAAATTAATTTAATGAACAATTTAGTTTAACTAGTTATAGCTATTAATTATTACCTAGAATTAGCTGATATAATTTGCAATTCATTTTCGTTTTCTTCTCCATTTGCAATACTTTTCATTGTATTATTTTTCTTTGATTGTAACTATTAACTATTTTGATGCGCCACGTTGTTTGCTTAGCAAAAGTTTATAACTCAATGTCATGTTTACTGATTAGATAGATTCATTGTATTTATACTCGATCTCGAGATATTAAAATATAAAATTAGTCATTAAATAATGAAATTTGTACCTGTACGGGTTTTTGTTCTATTGTTTAATCAATGGTTCTTTATAGAATATGCTAAACACGTGTATACAGGTAGGTACTGCAAATTTGGATCCAATTTTAAAAAATGTATATTTTCTTACATGCAATTTTGACTTTGTTTCTATAGAAAATAATAATTATCACAATCCACACCACATTTTTATGTTGTTAACAATTCTTGTTCTTTAGGTTTTGTGCTGTTTATCAGGGATCCGGACCGGACCATTTTTGGACAGAAAACCGGGTCGGAACCGGTATTTATTTGTGTAAACCGGAACCGTAACCGAAGTTTAAAAATAATATGGGTTCGGTTACCGAACCCATATTATTTTTAAACGTAACTCTAGAAACCGAACCCGAACCCTTTAAATTTAAAAGGGTTTCTTTAGGTTATTTTCGGTTTTCCTAATTTCTTTTTGCAAAAATTTAAAAAAATATATTTAATCACGGGCTATAAATCTATAAATTAAACACTCTAGCACAAGTATTGTTAGCGTTCCTGCTGTGTTAATACCAATTGTAAATGTTGTATAAAGAATTATTGTAAATGTAAATTAAATTTAAATAACTTTATTAGAAAAAGAAAGATGTCGTATGACATATGACATATATATGTATACAAATATATTATATAATTCTACACAGTAAACGGAAAATTATAGAGGTGTATAGGATGACGCCACGTTTGAATATCGTTTTCTAAATCTCCCTACGGTATAGAGTTGTATTCGTCAGTCGAGCGTTTCAATACTCTCCACAGTATACTATATACAGTGCTTGCAAATCCAAGTCCGACCGGTTAGGGAAGGACGCGTGAAAATAACAAGGATAGAACGCCAAACAGAAGGCGCTTACAATACGCACGCCTGACGCTCTGACCAATCAAATTCTGTGTGGCATTCTATCCTTAGAGCCGTTTCACATGCGACTGATAAAGTCCTGACGATCAGTCCTGATGGTCAGTCCTGATGACTAGGGGCCATTGTTTAAATTAACTTTTTCACATGCACTGCGTTTCATCGGTTGACTGATTCGTCGGCACGGGCATCGGGACAGCCCGTGCGCACTGCGTACCGTCAGGACTATTAAGGGCTGTTAGTTATATGGAGTATTTCATATGGTACGTACGGTCAGCAGAAACAGTGTTGCACAATAAGTGGTTTACGCATTGATACAGAAATTGTAATAAGTAGCATCGAACAGCGAAGATGCATCTGGTATGCAGATGATGAGAACTACAAAAAAAGGGATGCAAAGAACAAAGCATTTGAAGAAGTAGCGGAAATAGTAGTTCCGGATTTTGAAAATTTTGCGGAAGCAAAAAAGAACTTTTAAAATTTTGCGTTGTATTATTCTCTTTATACAAAAAGCGGCAACAGCGCAGTTCTGGAGGCGCTGAGAACCGTCTCGTAGTAGACATTTCCGTACTATACGTTGCTTGTGAAACAATGGCCATGACCGTCAGTCCGTATCATCCGGACTGATCGTCAGGACTTTATCAGTCGCATGTGAAACGGCTCTTATTCTTTTCACGCGGGTATTGAACAACCATCCTTTCCAACGCGGTCGGACTTGGATTTGCAAGCACTGTATAGAGGTCGTAATTTCACTTTTGAACTAGTATTAATATAAAAATTATTTTATTCTTAAAAAAAACTATATACGGCATGATTGTGATTTTTTTCATTTTATTAATTAATTAAGCTGTGTTGAATATTTTTCCTAAAGGAATAATTGCCAATGGGCCATTAATTCATTTGTTCGTAGATGCTACAATAACCTGCACTGGTGTGTACTTTTTCATAAACCAGATTTAAATATTACAAAACTAACATATACCAGTGGAGATAGTGCAGGGTCTACCCACTGAGCAAAAAAACGTAAAATATATGTAAAATTAACGTTTGTAGTGTGACGTATAAGAATCTTGTAAAATAAACGTCACGTAAACGTCGCTGTGATGTGCCTATGTCCGGATCCTGGGCCGTGAATTAGCCCTAACCGTTACGTGGATAAGGAGACGTAAAAATTACGTTTTTAAAAGGACGTAAAAATTACGTTTTTAAAAGGACGTAAAAATGTCATTTTAATATGGACGTATAGGTTTTGTTTCAACTTGTACATATTAGTTACGTTTTTTTAATAAAACTACCACTTTGGAAATATATTTTTTTTATTAAAATAAATTATAAAAATTAAACATTATTATTCTGGTAAAAATAATAAATAAAATAATAAAAATAAAACATACCGCCTAATTCATTTTCGGCCTCATTCTCATGTCCAAATTTGGCCAAAAAACGTTATGAGCGTTACTTGGCGGTTTGGAATAGCTCCTTGCTCTCTTTATCGAAATCACTTTCAGTCAGACGAAATAATTTCATACTGGCTTCTAAAACAAACATTAATAACTTAAGTTATCTAAGTAATTAAGAATATAAAACTTATATAACTTGCCTGTCGCTCTGCGCAAAATTTGTCTCCCATGTTCACTGGTGTATTAACTGAAAAATCAAATTGATTAAAAGACTTTTCTTTAAGTCTAACAGCATTGATTAATATTACTTCTCACTCAACGCTAACATTTAAATCAACAAAATTCGATAACCACTAATAGCGCCATCATGGCGATATTGGGACAATTAATTAATTATATTATAACCGTATGGTTGCAAACAAATGATAAAGCCAACTTACCTAAACTGTTCAGTCTCGCCTATGGAGAACAATGCGTTTTCTATCACACAGCACAAATGGCAACACAATTTGTTGAACACAGAACAATGGCAGTCGCAACGCAAACAGAGTATGCCCTGTTACAGGGCCCCTTTTATACCGATATATCGACTGGAAACGAAATTACCCGAGTACTTTTTTACGTAAATTTTACATAAAATATACGTTTCTTAATCTCACTATGCGATAATAATAGAATAATTATTATTTTATAAGCGGTAATATTAATTAATAAATCACTCTGGGGTTTATAATAAGTCATTAAAATAATAATTGTACCTACTTACATTGGTTTCTAAGTAAGTATCTACCTTCGGTTTAATCTAAAATTATGAATTAAATTCGGTATTTAATTATACAAGTATACGTACACTCAAATTTCCAACAAAAATGTAAATGTGGCATATTTTGTGGCGTATTTTAATGTTCATCATTGGCATTTAATGTTCATCATTGGCAAACCTATCCCATTCATATTTATCATGTGTCACATTGGTGACGTAAAATGTACGTTGTGTTTTGCACCTAATACGCTAAAGTAAAATAAAAGGCATAGATTGGACGGTATAGTGACGTGCTCGACAGCACCTTTTATTTTTTAGCGTAATTTTTACGTAAATTGAACATCACTAAAAAACGTAGTTAATGTGCCTTAAAATTGACAATTTTTAAACGTCACTGTGACATCACCACATCCATAATGTTCAGTGGGTACCAACAGACTTAATTACTAAATTATTAAAGTTTAATAGCATATCGATCATTTTTTCAACATAACCTCTGAAATTTTTAATACAAATATAGGTAATTTATATAATACATAAATATACTTAACATCATATCCTCTGTGCTTTACATACCTAAGTTGTTACGGTAAATAAAAATCAGACAAAGGAACCAAAGAAAGGAACTATTTTCAACAAAATCATATGCAGAAATGAGAAAATTCAAACTACTTCCATCCATCAAAAGATCAAAACTTCTTGCAATATTACACCCTCTTTTTATACTCTCAGAAATATTGACTAGAACAGTATTAGAGAGACTCCAGTTTCTATAACTTGGTAGAGTAAAGAGAAGTCGAAACCGTTGCGATATTGCATTGCGCTGTTTTTGTATAATTCTCGGGGACATTAACGAAAATCATTGCCAGTAAAATTCGAAAAGCTTGAGTTTCTATGTCTCTGAAGAGAATAGGAATCCGAAGTTGCTGCACCATTGGACTGAACCCTTTTTTAATAATTTCTAGAGACATAAATGACTGCACCATTCGACAGGGTCGAGTTTCTACTCCTCTGTTGAATATAGAAAATCAAAATAATGTATCTTGTAAGACACCATTGAGTTTGACTTTAAATATAGTAGGTACAGTGTATTTTTTGAATGTGTGTGATTGCGTCATCAATTGGGTCGTATGAATTAAATCGAAACTAAATTTAGAGTCAGTAGCGTATCATTTTGAAGGGGTCTAAGTATTTATTGTGGGTGTATTTTTGGTTGCCTAATGTCGCCTCATAGTTACGCAACTCAGTTTACACCCAATTAAACAACAATTCTTTATTAATGTGAATTATGCAAGTTTTATAAACGAATAACAATAAACATACACAATTTTTGTACATAATATTATGTACATACATATATTATATTATAATTATAATAACATTTTATTTTAATAATTATTAATTAATGTTTTGTCTTAATTAACTTAAGTTAATTAAGACAAAACATTAATTAATAATTATTAAAATAAAATGTTATAGGAGAACGAAAACAAGTTGGTGTGCCTCACTACTGAACACCAACGTTCTGGCGTGAATTGGTTCAGTGCTTGGCCCCACATTGCTAGCACTTTATTGTCGCCATAGCCGTCTTCCCCCATGTGGGAATCATAATATGTTTTAGCCTAAAACAGAATTCGTTGTTGCAAGCGCCCATCTAATTGTTTATGTATGTACCTGCGCCCATATAAGTTCAATGGCATTGAACTGGCAGTGATATGGAGGCAGACGCAAAACCTAATGCCCATGCTGCTGGAGGTACTCATCAACTTTGTAACGCTTAGGCGGGGTGTGGTAGCGTGCCAGGAACAGCAATTCCGCTTTAAATATACCTTTGATAAACTGAACATTATGTTCTG